TGAAATATTAATAAATTATTTATTAATTTATTTATTATATTAAAAAATTATTTAAGATATTATGTATTTTTTATTTGTATAAAATTTACATAATTTAAATTTTTATTTAAAATTAAATAACAATTGTGGACATAGAAGGAGTTTTGTGTCAATCTTATACTAATTTAAGAGAATTTTATGCAATAAATAAAAGTATTATGCATTTTTATTGAAATAGTATTATATAATTTATTGTAAAAAAAATTATCCATCACCCCTATGCGTAGATACCCACTGCAGTAATTCGCAGTAGATGTGGTCGAGTGGGTCCCACAAAAATATTTTTTATTTTATTTATTTATTTATTTTGAGGTTTAAGCCTAATTGGCTGTATAAAATATCCCGACACTTTTGACAAAATTTATTATTATTATTATTAATTTAAAGGTTGGAAGAGATAATGGTCCTGCCACGTGGAAATTGCGACAATATCTGTTCTGGTCATGAAATTAGGTACCAGTAAAGAAGAAAAGATATTTGAGCTTGGATGAGTGGTCGAAATATTTTAATTATTATTTTATTTAATTAAATGATAAAAGTGGTGGATGACCACTGACCAGTATTCCCAATAATAGCATTTGCAATAAAAATAAAAAATAAAAATACTTATTTTTAATACTACTCCCTCCGTTCTACGTATTACGTTCAAAATAAAAAATAAAATTACTTATTTTTAATACTACTCCCTCCGTTCTACGTATTCCCAACATTGCAAAAGCCGATTCATCATCTACTAAGTCTTTCCCAATTTGATAGTCATTTATTTAGATTGGTTCTTTTCTGGTTATTCTTGTAACTTCTGTTGTGTTTATAGATTTTACGAGGTCTTCTAACTCTGTTTTGTTAAAAAGAAATCCGAGCTTCCAATCTAAAATCAATTGGTGATAGGTGAAGTGATCTTTCACTCTTATAAATCAATGGAGTTCCCACATGTTTATCAATGTAAGACAATATTCAATATTTTTTAGTCAATGGTTCTGTTTTATCTCTTCATTCTTTGATAAATGATCTTCATCTTCCATCCCTTCATCATAAACATTTTTACAGTAAGATTTTCTTATTCCCAAGTCAATATTCACTACTGACTTTACCTTCATATGTATTCTAGTATCACTTTGAATCTTTGTCAAAATTGACATCTCAATTGATGATTATCTTTATAGGGCTAGATTAAGAAATATATATGCATTTGATTTCGATCTCCCACCAAGGAGAACACCTTTGTTGTCTATGTTATGAAGTTTAGTTCTTAGTTGTTTGAGGACAAGCACACACCCAATGCGATCAAATACCCGAAAGTAATCAAAATTTTTATTTATTATGTTCTAACATTTCTTCTAACGCCATGTTATCTAGAACATTTTTGAAATATCTATTTAGTACATAGAATGTCAACTTTGCTGCTTCTCGCCATAAGAACATCGACATTTCCATTTTCACTATAAGATATCTTTTCATGTTTATCATGGTCTGATTCTTACATTTGGTCATTTCGTTTTGTTGGGGACTGTAGGGAAGGGGGGTGTAGGCAATAATCAATTTCTTCTTAATCTCGTGTGTTTTACACAATTGATTGAACTCATTAAAAGTGAACTTTCCTCCTATATATTTTTTTGAATTGAGAATATGCTTCATTTTTTTTTTTTTGCCAAGTGATTGAAAAATTTAAACATTCCAAATGTTTCATTTTTTGTTCAAAAAATATATCAACATTTTGCGTGTAAAAATGTCAATAACTACAAAAATATTATAGTGTTTGATAAACAACATTTTGAATATCTTGTAGAAAATTGTTTGACCAGTTTAGAAACTATTTTAAGTGTTTGGTAAATTAATTTTTTAAAATAAATTATTGGATATCAAAATTATATATCCCACCGTTTCAAAATAACATTTAGATTCTATTTTTTTTATGCTTAATTTACCCATAAACATTAAATTTTTATTCAAATATATATATTAATATATACTCCATTCGTCCTAATTCAAAATATCATTTTTACCATTTTTGTCTATCCTATTTTCAAATTATCTCTTTCTTATTTTAGAAAAAGTAATTATAAACTCATACTAAAATATTCCCAATTTTTACATAAATTACAAACATACCATTTAATATACAATTACTTTATACAAAAAGTCAAAAGACAAATATATCAAAATTTCTTACATATTTCCACTAACGAATAAAATACTATTATCTCTTATCTTACTACAAAACACCAAAGGGCCTTTTTCAAAAGGGACGGAGGGAGTATTTTGTTGTAGTGAAGTAGACTTTGCATGCATTTGTTGTAATAGCGATGATCATTCCCTTCTCTTGTAGTGTCCCACTACTCAACAAATCCGTTGTCAATTCACGTATGAAATAAAAACATGTGATAGTCTTAATTGTATATCTTGCTTTAAATATTAAATTTTTTTTGCCATTTGTCAAGCTCAACGTAATTTTTTCCTCATTCTCCACTAAGACATTCGTCTCGAAAATTTCAAAGACTGTGACACATGTAACATTCAGTGGGAGATTTATTGAAGTTAGATTTTTACCTCTTATTCTCGTTCATCTATGATAACTTCATCTTCTTATTTCTCTACCACAATCGAAACTAAAGTCGCACTTAACCTTTAATACTTGTTCATTATTTTCATTGCGTTATAGTTTTGTTTATGAATTAAAAATTTGACCGTTAAGTTTATCAATACATTTTGACTCATTAGTAGAACATACGACAAAACTGAAATAATTTGTCAGAATTCAAAGGATCTTTTTAACAATATTACATCATTCATATTTTGTTCAGAGTTTCTCCGTTATAACAATCATAACTATGTAAATGGAGAATCAATTTTGTATCTAAAACATGTTATACTGTCTTTAAAAAATGTGTTCAAATTTTTGGACACAAATTTAATATGAATATATAATTTTTTTTACTAATATTTGTTTTTATTAAATATACAATAATAATATTTTAATGCGACAAATATAGAGAAAAAGTGAAAATATTTTTAAAAGATAGAAGTGAATATAAAATTATTGTTTTATTTTTAAAAAAAATACTTTATCCATCCAAAACAAATTATAGTACCATATTCTTTTTATTAGCTAAATTTATTAATAAATTATGTATTAATAATAGCTTTATTCCTCGTCATTTTATTACTTTTATTTTAATAAATAATAATTAATTTATTATTATTTTTTTATTTAGCCAATTCACATTTTAATATATCCATCAAAATAACTTTATTTTATTTTTATCTACATAACTTTTATGTTATAATATTAGTGTCCGATAATTAGAAAATGTGACATGAATTATAAAAATTATGAAGAGGATATGATTTTTTTTTTCTTATGTGTCAAGATCGAATTTCGACACGTGGCAAAGTATTTCCACGTAGGAAAAACGTGTCCTTTTAGTGCGACATGTGCGGGCGTGTCCCCACCGGTAGAGAAAGCTGGTTTCTATTTGTCTTGATTATTTTCTAACTAAAAACAATAATAAAATTATAAAATCATTTTCAGATAACATTAATAAATAAAAAACACACATATTTCAATTAAATTAAATTAAATTATTTTAATTTCTTTTTCTTTTTTTTTTTTAAAAAAAGGATTGGGTACGTAAAAGTGTTTCATGGTGTGTGCAAAATTCTAAATTGCACGAACAGCAATGACTGTGGGTGGCTGCACGCACCACACCAATCTGTCTGGTCCTTTTCTTAAAAGTGTAACCTTTTATTTAAAATTAAATTAAATTAAATACAAGAATTATAAATTAAATACAATACTAAATTATCAATTACTTTTTCAAAATTCATGTGAGTCCCACCTCAAATGTTTCTATTTCCAATAATTTTATTGTGTGAAAGTGAAAATAAAAATAAAAATAAAAATATCTTTTTTAGTTAAAGATATAAATTACACCTTTTCCGATTCTAAATTTTAATTATTATTAAATTTTGGAGTGGACAATAAATTAAAAAGTGAGTTAGCTGACAACAAAGCATGTAAGAACGTAGCCTCTAAATGGGACCCACTATATTAAAGAATAGCAACCCCGTAGGGCCCACACACTTCTTGTAAGTTCCGTGACCGTGACTCCAGTTTTAAATGCACCCACAGCCGTTGGATCATCTATAAATGAGCGGTCACGATCTTTCCCATTTCTCCACGCCCCCACCAAACCTGTCTGCCAGCTAGGACATTATTTTAATTCCGAATGCGCCACGTCACCTTTCCATCCGACGGCAGCCATCGCCGCTTCCGTCGCGTGACACAATCGTGACCGTCCAATGTGGGCCCCGCATTGTCCATTATGGGAAAAAGTGACGAGCTGCTGCTACTACTATACATCACTTGCCACTAATGGCCGTAATTATTGCACTTCAAATTATTATTATTATTTATTTTTTTGAATAAAATATTGTCATATTAAATTCTATCTTTCTTGGGTGGTGGAATAATAAAAAAATACATTTTTTAATAAAATAATAAAAAAATATAAATAAATAATGAAACTTGACCGGAGGTGGATCGATATTTTATGCGGTCACAATTCCTTGTGATCGTCAGGTTGCTTTTACCAATGTCACCGTTGCCACCGGCTGCAGCCGGTAAAAGGTTGAATCGAATTAAATAAATAAAATAATAATAGTACTATATGTAATAAAAATATTTATTTAGACGTTATAATGTACCTTCCTTGAATACAAAAGAGCCGTGTAGAGTGTGCTTGCCTTTTTAATTATTTATTTTATTTATAATTTCGATATTGGAATAGAAAACTGACACGTTTGGGTGGAGTGTGATTTTCCATCCAACGGCTGAGATTGCGGCCATGTCGGCAGATGAGGAAGATGAGCCGTCGGATAAGGAAGGCGGAAATGGACGGCTGAGATTTAGTTGCGTGAGATTTCCACGAGGGCTTTTCTGGAGAGATGAACTGAAAAAGGGTTCATTTATACGGAGGGAGGAGAGAGAGAGAGAGGAGAGAGAAAGGGGAAGAGAACACTGAAAGCGAAAGGAATTGCGGAGAGAGAAGATCTTGTTGTTTTTATATAGATTAGATTATATGTGTGGCGGATTTGTAGTGAATCGACGGGAATTATGCTGTGAAGTTGGAATCTGATGAGATTTATCGGAGTTTCTCGTCGGTGTGAAGCTCAATTTCCGGTGATTTCGAGAAGAATTTAACAGCGACGGCCATGGATAGGAATAGAGAAGCCAGGAGAGCGAGTATTGTTGGCTCTAATGGCTTCAATCGGAGACGACACAGAACGAGTTTGAGAGACTCGCCTGGTAATTCAGGGTTTTTTATTTTTAATTTTTTTTTCAGATCTGATTTTGGGGAAAAATTTGATTTCAGGTTTGAAATGATTTCTTCGTTTTGCAGATGAAGACGGCGGGATGGAGTTTCAGGAATCGATGAGATTGAGAGACAGAGTGAAGAAGGACAGAGATCGAGAGAGGGAGAGAGATAGAGAACGTGAGAGAGAGAGAGAACGGGAGAGGGAGAGAGAAAGGGAAAGAGATTTACGAGAAAGATCTAGCCGGAGCAAGCGCCGGAGAGCCGAGAGGCTCACCGCCGGAGAAGACGAAACTTCGGAGGAGAGCGTCAACGACGACGAGGCGGAGGAAGACGAGGAGAACACTTCCGCCGCCTCCGCCGTCCGCTCGCTCACGCCGGCGATTGGCTCCGTTTCCAGCAATAACCACCACCTCCTCCACAATAACAACCACCACCACCACAGCCTCCCCTCCGCCGCTCATAACGGCGGTAGTTTCAGTCAACAGCAGGCCAGCAACACCACCAACACGAGCCATATCGGCGGCGGCAACCACCATCTCCAGCCGCGGAAAAGCTTCCCTCCTAGCTCCTCCGCGAAGCCTTTCCGAGCTCCGCCGGTCTGGAAATCCGGCGACGAAATCATCAGCGTTTCCGTTCCGAGAAAAGCTCGTTCTGGTAATTAAAAAAAAAAAATTGATAAAACATTCTCTCCCCAATTTCTACAAATTAGGTCAAAAGATCTCATCTTTTCCATCTCCGATTTTGCAGCGAGCGCGAAAAGGTCTCACGATTGGATTTCAAGCAGCAGCAATAACAACAGCGGCGGAGTCGCCGGAGGCGACCAAATTCTCCGGCAAGCTTCGAGCTCTCCCGGCGGCGGTCAAGCCCTAGTTTCGACATCAACGCCGTCCCCCGCAGCTCCATTGTCTCCATCTTCTTCCAATGCTTCCGCTCGGAAAAAGCTTGTTGGTGTTCAATAGCCATAGCTCTCAATCTTAACAGATTTTCGTTCTTCTGCAATTTTTTTTTAACGCCTAAATTTCTTTAATCTGCAGAAGCCTAGCGGTGCCGCCGGGGGGCCAAAGCTCAAACCGCCAAAAGTGTCGTCGTCATCGAAACCGAGTTCTTCGAATCCAGAGGAGCTGGAGATTGAAATAGCGGAGGTCTTGTACGGATTGATGACTCAATCGCAAGGACCTTCGAAGAAAGATGAATCGAGAGATGTGAACAGATCCACCAGCGATGCGAAATCGCGTAATTCTTCTCCGATCTCGAATTCCACCTCCACAACGAACCCCATCTCCGGCGCCAATTCGAGCCCCCTTTCCGCCGTCGGTGAGTAAATCTCCATCTTCTTCATCTGATACCGGTCTTTCTTTCGAATCCATGGCTCTACAGCTCTTCAATCTCCATCTTTTTCAGCGCCGAAGAGAAAACGGCCGCGGCAGATACCGGAAAACTCAAGCTTCGGCCCGACGTCGGTGAAGCCAGACGCAGATCAGACGCCGAAGAGTGAGATTTCATCTCCGTGTTTGGAAAAAAGCTCAGGAGCCGTCGGTGAGAATGGATTCGACGCTGGGGTCAATTCGGTCCATTCACAAGGGCTACGGCCGCCGGAGCAACCGGACGCCATGGCTGCAGAACCAACGAAGCTGGATTCAGAGGTGAAGACTGTCGGTCAGAAAGAATCGAGAGAGGGCAGAGATTTGGTCGCCAAGGATGAAGCCAGTTCACCGAAGGCTAAAGAATTTGTTGCCGTTAGAGCCGATGATGTCCGCAACAAGAGTTCTCCGGTGACGGCGCCGGCAACCTCAGTAGATGCCAGAATGACTAAAGCGTGAGTAAAAAAAAAAAATTTACTTTTTGATAAAGATCTGATTTTCCGAAGCTAAAATTTCATATCTTGCTCAGGAATTATTCTATGCCTGATGCGGAAAATCACAAGGAAGAAAAGTTCGAAATAGATCTGATGGTAAGTGTGGATTCATTTCAAGACAATTGGATACACCTGTCGGTAAAAGGTAATTTTGGATCTTATTGTCTGAGCACCATTTTCAGGCACCTCCGCCGCCATCAAGATCATCGCCCGAGAGGGAAATCTCGACCAATTTCAGGATCGCCGCCGGAGGCGATCAGAAGCCAGTTTTTTCAGCTCCTGATCCTGTAAGTCAGATTGATTTGATTTTTTTGGGATCTTTTGAGCTTGGAATTTTAACGAGCAATTCATACAGGGTTCGAAGACGCCGGAAAAAGGAGACTGCAATGGTAAAGGTGGGGAAGATCACTCTGCAAATATTCCAGAAGAAAAGAAAGGTAAGCCAACGTCAGAAGAAGCTGAATGGAAAGAGGCAGTCGAGAACAGAAAGCGACATATTGACCTGCAACTTGATTTAGAGAAGCCAGGAAGCCATGGAAATGGTGCAGCAAATATGCTGGGAATCAAATTGCAGCCGCTGCCGGCGCTTTCGTTGCAAAAGCAACAGTCCGAGACGAAGGCGGCTAGAGAAGATCCCCACGCTGATAAAATTGGTATGTTCATTAATGGCGTATCTGACTTCGATTTTACTCGTTGTATGAAGAAAATTGAGATCTTGAATGTGTTGGTTAATGTGGTTTTTCGCATTTTAAGGTTACTCGACGACGTCGTTGCCTTTTCCGATGTCTGTCGCCGGCTGGCCCGGAGGGCTTCCGGCAATGGGGTATATGGCTCCCGTGCAAGGTGTCGTTTCAATGGACGGGAGCACGATGACAGCAGCGTCCGCGCCGCCGCCTCCAGTTCTGGTAAGTTCTGTCCGATCTGGCCATTTCGGTAGCGTCGTTTTGATCGATCGGATTGATTTGATTTAATTCGATTGTGTGAATTCGTTCAGCCAGTGTTATCCCAGCCGAGGCCGAAGCGATGCGCGACACATTGCTATATCGCGAGAAATATTCACTGCCTCCAGCAGTACATGAAGATGAACCCATTTTGGCCGGCGCCTGCAGGGTCGAAACCGTGTAATCTTAATGTTGTCCCGGCTGCAGATTTACCAGGAAACGTCGCCGTTAGATCCGGCAACAATGTGCAGGATAAGGCGCCGCCGAATCTTGCGGTAACATCGAACGGGAATGTGAAGGAGAAAGGCTCTCAACAGCCTTCTGCGATTCCCGATTCGGCTCAGAGAAAGCAACAGATTCTTATTCAACAAACTCTACCTCCCGTCGCCCCGACCAATTTACTGGTAACGGCTTGTTTTATTAAATTTGGCGTCGAATCGAGAAGAGACTCGTAAATAATTATGTTTTGTCGAACAGGGACCTTTCATCTTTCCGTTGAGCCAGCAACACGCGACGGTGGCTGCTCGTCCTGGAGTCCCGAAATCTCCCGCCGTCAGCTCCGCCGCCAACAACGCCGGATCCACCAGCGCCGCCGCCTCCGCCGCCTCGGCTACGATGAGCTTCGGTTATTCGAACATCCCCAACGAAATGCAGTACTTGGCGATCTTACAGAACAATGCGTACCCGTTTCCTATCCCGGCTGCCGTCGGCGCCCCGCCGAATTACAGAGGCGCGCCGGCCCAGGCAATGCCGATGTTCAACGGCTCCTTGTATCCGTCGCAGATGATTCATCCGTCGCAACTTCAGCCACCGTCCGGTCAGTCGCAACCGCAGAATGCGAGCGCGCCGAGCGGCTCGTCGCCGTCGCAGAAGCATTTGCACAGCCTGCAGCAGAGGCCTCAAAGCAGCGGCGTCGCTAGTGGTTCCGGACCGAACTTTTCCGGCCAGAAAACCGAGCAGTTGCAGTCACAGTCGCATAATCCGTATTTGCACTCGTCTCGGTCGAGACAGTTCGATGGCGGACATTGTGGTGAAGACAGCCCGTCGACGACCGATAGTAGGGCGGCATCTCGAGCTTCGATGAATATGTACGGCCCGAACTTCGCAATGCCGCTCCACCCGCAAAGCTATGCCTTGCTAACCCCGCCGGCAGCCATGGCGAGTGCTGCCGCGAGCGGAACCGGTAATCAGAACGAGAAAGGTCATCATCAACAGCAGCCGCAGGGTTCGAAGAACACGGGAGAGTCAATGGCGATGCCGCCGCCGCAAAGCTTTGCTATGTCTTTCGGTCCAATCAACGGGGCGAATACTGGTCCGGGCATCGATCTATCGTCGATTGCTCAAAATCACGTTCTGTTCAAGAATGTGCCGGAGTCTGCCCGACAGAATATTCAGATGATGGCAGCCGCTCCCGTTGCGCAGCAAAAGAACTTCCGAATATCCGAAGATGGGAACAAAGATTCTTCAACAAATGACGACGAAAGAAAAAGCTTGTCTACGAAATCTCTCGCCGTCGGACAATCCATTGCCTTCTCAAGATCGGACTTACCCGAAGGGACTTCGACATCCATTCAGGGCAACAATGTGCTCGAGAGTTCCCGATCTCTTACCATGGCGGCGGCGTCGTCGTCGTCGGGTCCTCACACGACTCGACCCGTCATGACGAACGCCGTTGGGGCAATAAGTATCCCGGATGCTCTTATGCAGACCCGAATTCAGCAGCAACAGCAGCTGCAGCAGCAGATGATGCAGTTTAAACATCAACAGTCGCAGCTTTCGGGAACGTCGGTCAGTCGAAGTAAAGTTCCGGCGGTGTCGAGCAGCGGGAGCATGTATCCCGACCACATGAATTCGTCGTCCGCCATGGCTGCCAAGTTCCCGCTTTCGGGATTCCCGCAAAACGTCGTCCAGAGTAACAGCGGCGGCAGCCCCCAGTGGAAAAGCTCCTCCCGAGCCCCGACGTCCCAGCCGCCATCGACTCTCGGCTCATCGACAGGATCGACGATCAAAAACCTACCGCAGCAGCATTCCCGGGCTCAGCCGCAAATGCACACGCAGATATCGTTTGGAGGAAATCAGAAACCTTCGGGAATGTCGCAAAGCTGCAACCAAGGTCCTTCGTCGCCGATGATGGCCGGCTCTCCGACGACGTCGTCGATCTCGAAAGGCGCCAGCGGCGCCCCAAGAACGACCGCATCGTCATCGACTAACAAAGTCGGGCAAGCTTCTTCGTTGTCGTCGCCGAAGAATTCCCCGTCGACTCCTACCCAGAAGTCGCCGTCGATCCTCGGGAATCATCCTCATTTAACGTCAGTCTCCTCCAGCAATGCAGCGAAAGCGCCGCCGATGACCCAGCAGCAGCGGCCGAACATGATGCACCAGACCCACCTGTTCTTCTCGAATCCGTACCCGCAATCGCACTCGCCGCATTCCGCGAGCACGAGCTCTGCTGGCTCCGGCCACGGCGACTATTACATGAAGCAGCGGCGCCGCCCGGATCAGCACCAGCAGTCGGCGACGGGTGCTCCAGTGACGTCGTCGACCGGGGTGCTATCGTTAGGCCCTCCTGTGACGATGTCGAATACAAGCACCAACGATCCCGCAAAGGCGATCGCGGCAGCGACGGGTAATGCTAAACCCGGCATAATTCAGGCCACCCAATTTGGCCCGGCGCAATCGACCGGCACGATATTGCCCACCGCGTTCTCGTACGTCCACACCGTCCCGGCTGCTGTTCAGGCGAAACCCGCCGAGCAGAAGCCACCGACGGGTGAGAATTTACTGTCAATAATTTTTAAGGTTTTAACATTTACGACATTGTGCGAGATTTTAAGATATTTGCAAATTGTCGACAGGTCACGACAATTCGCATGGATGGCAATCGGATAAGAAGTAAGAACATCGGGTGCCGGTTAGGGGGGAGGCAATGTAGCCGGAAGATCGATCGATCGGGGGGCCGATGTAATGAGAAATCGATGTTTTTACGTGGTACGAAATCGAAAACTCTTATCTTGAAAAAATTGATGACATGGTTCTTGAATCAAGATGTTTTTGTTGATGATGTTTCTTGAGATATAAAATCAGCTACCAAAAATGATTGATTCTTTTTGTAAGGGCAAAAGTGATGGAAGTGTTCTTAGAACAAACAAAACAAAAAAAAAAAAAAAAGAAAAGGGATGTAAGAAGATAGACAGGTTGAGGACATGATTTTGAGAAGATAATCCCACCTGTTGTTTCTCACTCTACCCTTTATAGGAGGTTCTTTCTATTATTTTGTATCTTCTCTCTCTAGAAAAATATATTATCTTTCAAAAAAGAAAAAAAAGAAAAATGACTTTTGGGCATGATGCATTGTATCTTGACTTATGGAGGCTGTACATTTATATATATACATGCATATTAATGATGTAGTTATCTGAATTTTGGACATGTAAGGATTAGGGCCCCTTGAAATTTTCTTTTTTTATAAATTTTATATTTATTTTGGGTAACTATTGGTGTCAAAATGTTTGGACACTAAATGATGATGATGATAATGATAATGATATGCCCTTTTTTGTCTCTATTTGGGACATGATTGTGGTGGTGGAAAGATGAAAAATCTTGTCCTAATGTTACTCTCTTACAATATCCAGACTTTGAACATTTCAATGTTCTTGTATGGTTATATATATATATATATATATGTGTGTATAGGGAAAAGATTAATGGGGTGGGTGGGGTAGGGGGGGTTGGGGGTTCCATTTTCTTGATTTGAAGGGTCCACCATTTGGGACAAACAGTAGAACACAATCAAGTGAAAAATAAAAAATAAAAAATTATAATAATAATGATTGTAATAATAGTGTTTGAGCTTCCTTGAATTGTGGGGCCAAATGTCTCATAAATCACAGGATATATATTTTATATTTTCTTGAAATTTTATAGACCAATTATTGGTGAATCTGGAATCATTTCTGCATTTAGGTATTAATTGCATTTTATTTCTTTCAAATATATTCTCCCTTACCGATTTGAAAGGAGTTCTTCAAAATTTGTAATAAATTTAAAAATAATAATATTTTATTAATTAGTAAAAGTGTATAAATTTTTTTAATATTTTTATGTTTTGACTGTGTATAAAGTAATTTTATATGTAATGATATATTTGTAATTTAAATATAAATTAAAAAATATTTTGATATTAATGTATAATTTTTAGTAATTGAACTATCTACGTAACATTACAAATACCCTTCTAATTTACAATATATTATAAAAATGTTATTACATTTATATCATACAATACTAATAAAATTAATTTAGTTTTTTTTTTTTTACTTTTATTTCAACTTTATTCCAATATAATACTAATATTTCTAAAACTATGTAAAAAAAAAGCAAATAGATATATATAGATATGGAGGGTATTTTTCTATCTATATAGTTTTGTTTTTCTTTTAATGTTATTCCACTTAAATAATTTCCTTTTATTTATGTTTTTTTTTTTTTTCTTAATTACTATTCAATTACCATTTTTTTTTTAATTTAAAACTATTCTACATTTCATCTTTGATTCTGTTAAATTAATTTTTTTTTTTTTTGTTATATATTTCAACCAAAACCCTAATTTGGATTGCGTTCTCTAACGAAAAATATTAAATGGGGCCCATGTCGTTTGAACATGTGCTTATTTAATTTAATTGTTCTAACCGACTGGTCTTTGCTTTTTAATATTTACATTATTATATTTTATGAGCCTATCATTAGTTCAGCTAATTATGGCATTCAATATTTCCATATTTGTTTGTTGGTATTTTTATTCTACTCCCGCTCCCACTATTTGTCTATATTTTCTATTTTCGTTCGTTTTATATAATTTGTCATTTTTTTTGAAAATATAATTATACACTTTAATTACATTTTAAACTTTATATTTTATAATTTTTTAATCTAAATTAAAGTATTTAGTCATCTAAATCTTAATCTATAATTATTTTTACTATATAATAATTATTTTTACTAATATATTTATTAATTACTTACTAATTATACTTTACCTAAATTCCCGTGTCCACATTAACACGCCCAAATTATCTAAGACGGAGGGAGTAATACAGTAATAAATTTATGGTTTATTTTATTTTATTTGTCTGTAAAAACTAGTTATTTTTTATTTTTCCATTACATAATTTTATAATATTCTATAAAAATATTTTTAATTGTACTTGTTAAATACATTCTTTTAAATAAGAATTTATTTGCCCAACATTTTTTTTTTTCTAAAAAAAAAATAGGATTTTCAATATATATATATATAATATAGATGTTACATTGTATGTTATGGTAATTAAAATACTCTTATAATAATGTAATTTTAGCTTAATTTATATTGAATGTGCTCATAGATGTCATTCCATTTTATTATATTTAAATGTAAAGTATTTATTGAACTATATATATATATATATATTATTAAATTGGGAATCTACATACAAATCTTGAAAATTTTAGTATTGTTAAAATGAGAAAATTTAAGATCCTTTGGATATAGGTTGGATTTTGGTTGTTGAAATAATTTCAATTTTTTATTTTTTAAATATTACTCCCTCAGTCCCATGAATATAGTTGGGTCGGACACGAGATTCAAGTAATATTATATTATATTGGTAGTGAGTAAAAAATATGGATAAAAGACTTTTTTGCCTTTGTGACTGTATTAGTGTAAAAAGTAGTGACAATTGTGTAATAAAAATGAAAAAATAGTGGTAGTTTTATGGTGATATGATTATTTATGGAAATAATATTATTGTTTTGGGACGGACAAAAATGGTAAACAAGACTATTGTATTGGGACGGAGGGAGTATATTATATAAGATATACTTCAAATTTTGTACTCCCTCCGTCCCGTTGTAAGGGTGGCGTTTGCTTTTTGCACGTAGATTTTTGAATAATAGTATTATATTGAATTGTAGTTAAAAAGACAAAAGTACCCCTATTAGTATGGTGTAATATAAAAATAATGACATTCGTGTAATATATTGTAAGTTGAAAGAGAATTTATTATGTTAAGTGGGTAGTACAATTACTAAATTAGAAAGTGACAACTTTGTTTTGGGACAGACGAAAATGGAAAATGGTAACTTTTCAATGTGACGGAGAGAGTATATTTATTTATCTCTTTTTCGAAAATTCAAATTTTCGTAGTAAAATTATTTCACTTTAATTAGAATTATATATTTATAGTTTTTTATTTATTTGTTATATAAAAAATTATATCCCATTTATCATCCAATTGTAAACTCAAATATTTAGGTACAGAAAAAGTAATAATTAATTGTTATTTTTTACTTTTTATAAAAAGTACATTATATTTTTTTCCTAAAAGAAAAAAGTATTTTTTATGAAAGTTGAGAAAAAAATAATTATAGATTTGAATGAAAAAAGATAATATTTTTTATAAAATAATATTTATATTTTATGTATTATTTTGAAATACAATTTTTAAAACATTCCAATATTATATTATAAAATAAATAAATTATTTCAAATCTTACTTACAATTTAAAGCCCAGCCATAGCCAAACAGGCCCTTACTTTCTTTCAGAAATAGTTTGAAAGTGTTAAGTTGTTTTGGGCCCACTTTTTTGGGCTTTCATGGCCCAAACATAAGAATGAAGACTGCGGCTTTTAAGTTATTCAATGATTTATTTATTTTTCTATGTAAATATATAATTCATATAAAATATTAAATAAAATTTTTTATTTTATTTAAATATAAATTTTTTTAATTAAAATATAACAAATATGATATATTTTAGATTAAAAAAAATAAAATTGGTACCCATAGTATTTGGAAATGGATTGTGCTTAGTTTGAATATTCAATGTGGTTTTGAATAAATTTATTGAAGTTGTTGAATTATAGATCTTACTATATACCTTCAATATAGAACTATTTGAAAATTTAAACATTTTTTTATATAAAATATTTACATCAAACAAAAATATTTATTTTTTATTCAATTTTTAATTTTTCAAATCAACTAAAATTTTGAAAACACTTCTAATAAATATGTAAATGCACTTTATATATTAAAAATATATAACATGAAATTTTAAAAATAATTCACAAGTTATTATTTACACATCTAAATATTAAAAAATAAATATCTAAAAATATAAGTTAATTTAAACATAACAATAAAATTAAAATATATATGAAATATCATTTACTTGATAAGAATAAGAAATACTATAACGAAAATAGTGAAAAAAATTTGTTTGATTTTTCAAAATTCTTTATTCATCGTTTAATTATTATTTTTCCTCTAAAAAGTCTACATAAGATATTTATTATATTCTATATTTATTTTTATCTAAAAAAATTATAATTAAAAAAAATAAAATCAAAAGTTAAGTAATTAAATAAATATTCGTACGTTAGAATATAATAATATAACATTAATTCTTTTAAAATTGAGCATGCTATCCAATCCCTTACGTAAACTTTCTCTATTAAAAAATTATAAAACAAATTAAATCCACGTAGTATGTATTTATCTTATTTTGAACATTATTAATAATTTAATAATTAGCAGCCATTCTTTTCCAACGGTCAACTAATTCTGTAAAATAATTTACCAAACCAAACCTACTCCATTATGGATAATAATATATATAAGGGTGTGATTCTTGATGAGGTTGAAAAAAAATTGGTTTGAATTTGATATGAAAATAATGTTTGATGAGATTTTCATGAAAGAAAAAAATATATTTTTTTCGAAAAATGCAGAGTCTAAATAGTAAAATTTGAGGAAACTCAGCTAAAAAATATATACCCATAGTTTGTTTAGTATACCTTATCGGCTAATTTAAACGTTATTACGACTTGAGTCGAAAATTTACTTTTTTTTGCACGTAGTTTTAGAAATATTAGTATTATATTGGGATGTAGTAGGAATAAAATAAAAATGACTAAAATAACTTTATTAGTATGGTGTGATATAAAGGTAATGACATTTGTGTAATATATTGTAAGTTGTAAGGGTGTTTGTAATGTTAGGTAGATAGTACAATGACTTAAAAAAAAAAAAGGAAATAGATACTTAGTTATGGGACGTATTAAAATAGAAAAATGAATACTTTGTTATGAGACTGAGGGAGTAAATAAATAAGTATAATTTGTATAGTTTATTTTGATGGTGTAGTTTGTAGAGGATTATATTCTATCGAAGGCTTTACTTAATGAATATTAAAAAAAGTAACAATGACATATTTTCACCGGGAATATTGCAAAAAATATATCACACGTATACCCCATTATCACTTTTGTCCTGTATTTATCTCGCTGGCAAAATATATCCCACATGTTTGCAAAAGTCGCTATTTCTATCCTTTGGCCGCGCGTGATTGCGCGTAAGGGCGCGTGGTGTGAATTTCACGTGCGGGCAAAGGACATAAATAGCGACTTTTGTAAACATGTGGGATATATTTTGCTAGGGAGATAAATACAAGACAAAAGTGACAATAAAGTATAAGTGTGAGATATTTTTTGCAATATTCTCCATTTTCACCTCATAAAATAATAAATAAATAAGTGGTTATAGGTTCAAAACCTATCTGCATTTTCTTGGTCTTGCCTAATAAGTTTTATATATTGCGCTTAATTCAATAATTTATTTAGTGCGTACTTTAAAAATAACAATCGTGAATTTTTACATTATCAAAATATATATATATATATATATACATATACATACAAATTAGTGGTGTTCGAGTTGGTGTGATATAGCGATCGGTAATCATTTTGAACATTGCTAATGTATTCTCAATCAAATTTGTTACTCAAAGATTGTTCAAAGTAAATTTTTTAATAGAAATAATTTACAAACTAGTACATATTTGAAATAAGAATGGCGACGGCTAATTCTTACATTATCCGAATAAATAAATCAACATACATATGTCCGTACATACAAGTCCCAAAATCTCTTCTATATATATATATATGTCTTCTAATTCCTCAAAGCCGACATCATTTTTTCCAAATTTACTTACATAGTACAATTTCCATTGCCTACATTAATTTCTCCAAATGAAAATTTTCCCGCCGTGCCATTCTGTTGAGGTGTTCGAAAAAATATTGGGAAGTATTTGTGGCAATATTCGGGATGTCCCAAAAAATAAGATCGAGCCCTCGGTCATCAAAGCTTCCGTCATCCTCATGAAGAAAAATTCCGGCGATGTTACCAATGTTGGCGCTTCCTTTCTTGATCGTCTCCACGAGCTCTTTGGCAACGGCGTCTCGTTGCAGCTCATCAGCTCCGTCCTTGCGGACTCTGGTTCGCCATTCTTTATATATATATATATATATCTTTTTAGTTTAGACTAAATTTGGAAATTTAAATTTTTATTAAATAATATTTGATGTGAATTTTATAATAATATATATTTTTTTAATTGGATATTTTTTTCCAATATAACATGAAATTCAAATGATAAAAATTTGGATAAAAACTCCAAAGAAACTAACTTTACCTTTGCACTCAGTACCTATTTATATATTGTGTATGTATAATCTATACGTATAAAGAAATCGTTTTTGTAATAATTTCGACTCTATTTATATATATATATATATTCTTAGAAGTGTTGAATTATGTATTTATTAATAAAGTTTTTCTTTTAAATATCACATTAAATATTACTATTTATTAACCTATCACGTTAAATATTTAAAGTTTTATTATTAGAAAAAATTAAAATATCAAAACATTCAAGACTTATATAAGCGACGTCATAACAATTTTAAAATAAATTCAAATTCCATTTCATTATTTTTATTTTTTACATACATCTTTAACCATTTATAAAAATCCAATATATTTCTGAACCTAATAGTAGTGTTTGGTTAATTTAAAAATAATAAATATACATATAAGTGTTTGAAAATATAGGTAAAAAGAGTGCAAGTCCAACTTACTTCCGAGATGGGCTCCACAAACACTTTACTTTACTTTTTTATTTTTATTTTTTTTTTTAAAATATATATTACATTCATTCATTATTTTTATATTATTTACGTAATTCTCTACAGTCTATTTAAAAATATCTCTTCTAATCATCTCTTACTCCCTAGCATCTTCTTCTCCAAAATTTATCATCTTTTGATTCAATGAACAGAAAATGAAGGAAGAGGAAAGCTAGGAAAAGCAGCATATCTATCGAACTGGATCACCAAATTCTCGTCGCTTAACGCCAAAGACGAAGCCACATTCGATGTCACATTCCAATGGCACGAGTCCTTCGGCTTGCCAGAAGCCTTCCTCATCCGCAACCATCACCATTCCGAATTCTACCTCAAATCCCTAACCTTCGACACCATTCCCAGTCACGGCCGCGTCCACTTCGTCTGCGATTCTTGGATTTATCCGGCGGGTCGATACCGCGACGATCGCGTCTTCTTCGCAAACAAGGCATGTATATATTAAAGAACAAACAATGCACCTTTTCGATCTTTAATCGATACTCATTGATAGGCGCGGTTCTTTGATCTTATTAGGCCTATCTCCCGAGCGATATGCCGGCGCCGTTACGGTGGTATAGAGAACGGGAGCTTAGAAGCCTCCGTGGCGACGGATCGAGCGGGGAATTGCAAAAATGGGATAGAGTATACGATTACGCTTATTACAACGACTTGGGGAGCCCCGAGAAGGGGGATGAATACGCGCGCCCCGTTCTCGGGGGATCGGAGGCTTATCCGTATCCCCGTCGTGGAAAGACAGGGCGTAGACCAAACCCGGCCGGTAAGAAAACTGTTGGCTGACTATATAATAATTAATGATGCGTATCTCTTTAAACTTAAAATTTTATATTATATGATCATATGGTATTAGGGGTGGAATTCGGGCTAGCCCGATTTTTTTATGTTGGCCCGACCCGACTCGGTTTCAAAGTGTGATGTACAGGCATGACCCGGTTTTGAACCGGGCCCGAACAGCTAGGCCTAAGCAACTCAATTTTAAAACCGCGTTGTGCCTGACCAACTCCTTTTATTATAAACAACTTGAGAATTTTACTATTAAACTATATCTAAACTTTTGTTACTATTTTATTAGTTAATATATATATTAAATATTAATTTTAAAAATTGAATCGGGCCAAGCACGGTCCGACCTTCACAGGCCCGGGCACATCCCGATTTATTGGTGTGCCGGGTCAGGCACAGTCCGAAAAAAATTTGGGCTTATTTTTGAAGACTTAAGTACGATTTTTTCGTACCGGATTCAGACCGAATTTTCGGATTGTACCTATGTTTGTTACCTCTTATTTCAAAGTCAGAACATTCTATATTTGAGTCCCTCCATCCCATATTTGTCATTGTCCTGGTGCAAAATTTATTTAACAGGACTCATAAGAAGCATTTTTTTTTTTTTTTCGTACTACAAACGAGTTTTTGAGAGTTATCGTATTTACATGTGTTTTTCTACGACGAAACGCAGATCCCAGCTCAGAATCGAGGTTGTCTCGACTGAGTTTGGATATTTACGTCCCTCGCGACGAGAGGTTCAATCAAATCAAGTTCTCGGACTTCATCGCGTACGCGCTGAAGTCCCTCGGGCAGGTCCTAGTCCCGGAGATCGAATCCGTGTTCGACACAACTATAAATGAGTTCGACACTTTCGAAGACGTGCTAAACCTCTACGAAGGCGGAATCCGGCTACTCAATGAAGAGGATGCCCGTAAACTCCGGGATTGCATGCCGTGGGAGCTGATCCGGGAACTCATTCGATCGGATGGCGAACGGTTTCTTAAATTCCCGTTGCCAGATGTCATCAAAGGTAAAATATATTATCTGTTTCGACTAAGTTATGTGTTTCGAGATATTATATTAAACAACCATTTTGTTCGAGGATCGATATAGAGAATAGAACGGCGTGGAGAACAGACGAAGAGTTCGCGCGAGAAATGCTCGCCGGAGTGAACCCTGTTGTCATTCGACGGCTACGGGAGTTTCCGATAAGGAGCGAGCTCGACAGACGAGTTTACGGCGATCACGATAGCGTCATCACGGCAGACCAGCTCGAGAAAAACATGGATGGCCTTACTGTGGAAGAAGTAAGCGTTTTTTATCGTTCGATTTTCTACTCGAAATTAAAATTTTCGACTTGTTTTGAACTTCGATTTGATTCATGCCATCGTAAAATAGGCGTTGAAGACGAACAAGCTATACGTGTTAGACCACCACGATGCCGTAATGCCGTATCTCGCGAGGATCAACGAGACGACGGCGAAGATCTACGCGACTCGAACAGTTCTCTTTCTTCAAGAAAACGGGACGTTAAAACCGCTCGCTATCGAGCTAAGCTTGCCAAGCAATGACGAAAACGATCGAGGGGCGATCGGGAAAGTTTACACTCCAAGCAATCGCGGAATCGAAGCGTCGATTTGGCAGCTAGCGAAAGCGTACGTCGCCGTGAACGATTCCGGATATCATCAGCTCATTAGCCACTGGTTCGACTACTATTACGATGACTCCGAAAATTTAAATCGACGCATCGAAAATTAATCGTCTGATCGTATTCGTATCGGTTGATCCAGGTTGAACACGCACGCCGTGATCGAGCCATTTGTGATCGCGACGAATCGACAGCTAAGCGTTCTTCATCCGATACACAAGCTCTTGAAGCCGCATTTCCGCGACACGATGCACATAAACGCCTTGGGCAGGCAGATCCTAATCAACGCCGGAGGCGTTCTTGAGAAGACGGTCTTCCCGGCGCAATATGCCATGGAAATGTCGTCGGCTGTATACCGATCGTGGAATTTCGCCGAGCAAGGCCTCCCGGAGGATCTCGTCAAGAGGTTCGTCGCTTCGACTCAATTTCGCTCGTCAATTAACACAAACATGTTCAAATTTTTGTCTGATGATTATATAATACTACCTCTGTCCAACTACAAATTATACAATGACTTTGTTGTATTGATATTTGAATATTAATTATTATATCAAAACATAGTACAAATAAAAAAAAAAGACAAAATACATCTATTAGTCTGTTATAATACAAAATACAGTGATATTTCTTGAGTAAATTATACAAATATAAATATATTTTTAATGTTAAATAAACGGCGCAAATACATATATTTACTTCCTGGCTGGACGGAAGTAATATGTAACTAATAATACATACTCCCTCTTTCCGGCTCAAAAGATCTCATTTACCTTTTGCGTCATTGTACTTAACATTAAAAATATTCTTATATTTGTATAATTTTTTTTGGCATAAATATCATTATAATAGTATTAGAAGACACTAATAGAAGTATTTTTGTTTTTTTTTTTCCTTGATTTGTACTATATTTTTATATAATAATTAATATTCAAATATCAACACGCAAAACGTAAATGAGACCTTTAGAGCCGTACGAACATAGTATCTTACAAATTTAAACTTTTAGGTGAAACGATAATTTAACATTATATCATAAAAGAAAAAAAAAATTGTCTACGTGCAAGGTTTGTGAATTCACCTTGCACGGGGGGGGGTTAAGATGGTAATTTAACAATTTCCGATCATCGAATACTCGAATTTTCTAGGGGAATGGCGATCCGCGATGACGATCAGCCGCACGGCCTACGGCTCGTGATCGAGGACTATCCGTTCGCTGTCGACGGGTTGGAAATTTGGGCGGCGATCGAAGCGTGGGTAACGGAATACTGCTGTTTTTATTACAATTCCGACGAGGTTGTCCGGGGAGACGACGAAATCCAATCGTGGTGGAAAGAGGTCGTTGAAACAGGGCACGGCGACCGGAAAGGCGAGCCGTGGTGGCCGGAGATGGCGGCGCGTGACGATCTGATTCAGATCTGCACCATAATCATATGGGTGGCGTCGGCGCTGCACGCCGCCGTGAATTTCGGGCAGTATCCGTACGCCGGTTTTATGCCGAACCGGCCGACGGTGAGCCGGCGGTTCATGCCGGAGCCTGGGACGCCGGAATATTCCGAGCTGGAGGAGAATCCCGACGGGGTGTTTTTTAAAACTGTGACGGCGCAATTCCAGAGCTTGTTGGGTGTGTCGTTGATCGAAATTCTGTCGAGGCATTCGACGGACGAGATTTACCTCGGGCAGGCGGAGAACCGGGAGTGGACCGGCGACGCGCCGCCGCGGGCGGCGTTTGAGCGGTTCGGGGAAGCGTTGGTGGGAATTGAGAAGAGGATTGGGGAGAGGAATTTGGACCGGAGTCTGAAGAACCGGTCCGGGCCGGTCGGGGTGGCGTATACGCTGCTGTATCCGAATACGTCGGATTACAGTAGAGTTGGAGGGCTCACAGGGAAGGGTATTCCCAATAGTATATCGATTTGAATTTTTATTTATTTCTTTAAGTAAATTGTTTGATTTTGATTTGTTTGGGAAATTTTATTTTATTTTATTTACGAAAATTGGACTGTAAGAAGTGTGTTCTTCTGTAATTTTTTAATTTACATAATAATTAAATGTAATATTAATGAAAAGTATTTTTACCGATGAAATTTTTTAAAAGAAAATGCAAAATAATAAAGTCAAAACTGAACCTTATGCAAAAAGATCATTTTGGTTATCATTTTTTTAATATTTAAGTTTTATTTTGGTGTGATTTAAAATTAATTACTTCCTCTCGCGTCACATAAAAATAGAAAACTGTTAGTTTTTAGTACGTTTTGAATAAATTCTTAACCAATCTAATAATTTGTAGCTTAAATAATTTTTTAGTACGTTTTGAATAAACTCTTGGCCAATCTAGACAGTCCATAGTCGTTGACCTGACAGTTGACAGGCTTAGCAATTGACGATCATTGGAGTGAGGTGCAACATAGATATTGCATTCTTAAGTCGGGGATGATGTAATATCCCTGGAGTTGAATAGTGATATGAGTCGGGGAGGATGAAATACCTCCGAAATTGAATAAGAGGTTAAATGAATTGAATAGACTACTCATGTCAATAATGTGCATATTCTTTTTCAAAAGCCCGCGCGTGAGTGAGGACAAAAGCATCTTGAAAGGACTTGTGTTGACCTGTGGGACTAGTCTACGATCTCGACATGCCCGGCTTTGCGTGGCTTGCGGGCCGGGGTGTCACAACTCGACAAACTCTCGATCAAACTTAATATTGTTGTGACGAATTAGAGTTGATGATCGAATAACAAATAGAAACATAAAGAAGACGCAGATTTACGTGATTCACCAACAATGTATTAGCTACATCCATGGGTAGGAATAAAGAACAGATTTACAGTTATGTTACATATTACAAATTTTGTATCCCTAAGTGTGCTTAAATAAATCAAGAAAATATATCAGCCGGGCTCAGCCCAATACCACATTCCGAAAGCAGATAAAATTTAGCGAAATGACAAACTAGATTCAAGACGTATCAACAAATATTCTGCAAACTAAATCTAATAAAAACAAATCATAGAATTATATCTGACCGGTGGATGCGGAGGTTAATAATATATTAATTACATCATAAGACACTAACCACACCACTACACATACACAATCGAGATATGAAATTATCTCCCTAAATGCCACGTGGCAGGCAAAGGCAAAGGCTAAGCCTGTGCACAAAACAATCTAATTGGTCTCCAACATATCCCAAACCTTATCCAAAATCTGTCCCAACCATCCCTAAAAATTTCATACAAACAACAATCCTTACCACCTCAATTTCTCCTCCTCCATCCAAATCCATCCATAGCCATGGCTGCCCAAGCTGCCCTCTTCACCCTCTCCACCCCCTGGACCAAGAAGACCCCCCAATTCTCCACCCCCCGCCCTTCCCGTACGGCGGCGCCGCCGCGCCCAATCCGGGCCATGGCCGACGAAGCCCCGGCGGCGACGGCGCCGGCGGGGTTCTCGCCGCCGCAGCTGGACCCGTCGACGCCGTCGCCGATCTTCGCGGGCAGCACCGGCGGGCTGCTCCGGAAGGCCCAGGAGGAGGAGTTCTACGTGATAACGTGGGAATCTCCGAAGGAGCAGGTATTCGAGATGCCGACGGGCGGCGCCGCCATAATGAGGGAGGGTCCGAACCTGCTGAAGCTTGCCCGGAAAGAGCAGTGCTTGGCGTTGGGGACGAGGCTGAGGTCAAAGTACAAGATTAAGTACCAGTTTTATAGGGTTTTCCCCAACGGGGAGGTGCAGTACCTACACCCTAAGGATGGGGTCTACCCTGAGAAAGTCAACGACGGTCGGACCGGCGTCGGAGTCAACTTGAGGTCAATCGGGAAGAATGCTAGCCCCATTGAGGTCAAGTTTACGGGCAAGCAGGTCTATGATTTGTGAAGTATTGTCTCTTTCTTTCTTTCTTGAATTTCTATGATCATCTGTAATATGATTATATAAATATATATATATATATTGTGATTATTATTATTATTATTATTATTATGATATGATCCATGGTGTGTTTAATTTGCTTTGGGTTTTTTTGTAATTTATCAAACAAACTTCGTAAACAAATATACAACCGAATCGAGATGAAATTAAACCAAAATATTAGAGCTAAAGGCATAACTAAACATATTAATTATGAAAGTCTTGTTGCTTGAGCATTCGGTCGGCTCGGACCGAACTGAACTTTGAGTTTTTGATCGATTTTTGATTTGTAAAAATCAAAATCGAAATTAAATCAAAATTAGCAAAATTAAATATTTCAAAAAATTCCATTTGTTTTTGGGATGCAGGCAGTATCAAAGCGGAAAAATAATACTTTTTCTGTTCCATAATTATATATTCGTTTGTTTTTCGTATAAAGTTTTAAAAATATTAGTATTATATTGAGATGTAGTAGGAATAAAGTAAAGATGACTAAAATAATCATATTAGTATTGTGTGATATAAAGGTAATGACATTTGTGTAATATATTGTAAATTATAAGAGTATTTGTAATGTTAGATACATATATATTTACTAAAAAAAATAATAGATATTTTGTGATGGGACGGATAAAATGGATAATTTGTTATAGGATAGAGAGTAATAATAATTGTTAGCCACAAATTTTGATAAAACCAAACAACAACGTTTAAAAACTTTCAGCAATAGATTAACAACACAAAAAAATGAACAACAAATAAGTACAACACCAAAATACTCCAAAGCAAACTTACACAGACATATTCAGCTACAGACAATTTATGAAACGATAAAGTAACATGTAAACTCTGTAAGCAGAAATACGAAAAACACAAAATTGATAGCCCAGTTCGGTCACCAATAACCTATATTTGGGGGTTCCAACCCAGGCTCATTTCGACTGATCAAAGTACGAATCAGGCCTACAAAGTTATAATCTCAAATGTTCTACTCTCCCGAAATCCCCCGCCGTCTAGCTCTAAGATTTCCATCTTCACTGTTAGAATTTTTGGGAAAAATAATAAAATTGTTTTATTGATGATAAAAATAAAGAGGTTTATATATAAGCAATACAAAACAGACTCAATAGATTCAAGTTTAATGTAAATCTACTAAATCTAAAATTAAATATTTAAAATATCTCTAATATTCACATTTCTCAATTTGCTAATGTGTCATCTTTGGCTCTCCCGTTTGAGTGAAAATGGATCACCTCTATTGCGGGTCTTCCTCAAGAGTATAGTCCAAGTTACAGTTGGGTTTGCAGGCCACCTGTCTACTAAAATTCAATATAAAATAAAATTCATTTTCAACAATTTAATTAATGAAATACCAAATAGGAAATAAATAATAATAATTAAAATAAGAATTAAAATTTGACATTTTTGAATAAAATAACATCAATCATAAGTATATTAATACACTAGTATAATTTTGTGTTATAGACAATGATATTAATTTATTTTAATTTCTATATATATTAAAAAAGCTTGAAATAAATTAACATTGATATATCAATATCAGTGTATTTAATTGAATAATTATTTTAACCATCGATTTTTTTTTATTTTATTTTTTATTTTTAATATTTATTTCCATATTTATTTGTAGTGATCAATAAGGTTAAGTAACAATTACTATAAAAAATATTATATGTGGGTACATCATGATCAATTTTTCAAGCCAACCCCCCCCCCCCCCTCCCAAAAAAAAAGGAGGTTGTCACATTTTTATAATTGAGTCTTACTACGTCATAAAAAATAATAATAAGAAGAATTAATTGAGTCTTACAAAATATTTGCGATTGTACTTAGTTGTTTTTTTTTTAAAAAAAAATAATAAAATTATTATTATTATTTGATTATTTTCATATAAAATTATATAGTTAGAGTTGTTCTGGGAAGAGTTGTTCTGGATCAATCCAACATAATCCGATATATAGCCTGATTCGGATCGAGCCGGGGCAAGGCTATATATAAATCTTTTTACTTGGCCCATAACTAAGGACAATTTATTATTATTATTTTTATTTTTTTTTTATCCTGACCGAGGTTGAATCGAGTTGGCACGTCGATCTAACTTGAATTAAGAAATATATGTTAAATGCATCTAATGGGATAGTGTAGTCATTAATCAATCTTAATCCCCTTTCAATTATAAAAAAATGACTCAAACCAAACATAGTTATACAACACATGAGTTTTAATTTGGAAATAAAAGTTTGTCTAATTTTAGTGTTGATTAGCAAATCAAGATAAATAAATATGTCACATTATTGTCCATTATTGTGATACCAATTATTATATATTGTAAATATAATTAAATTAAATATGTGTGTGTGTGACCAAGGCAAGAATAACTTTATAGATAATCATTCACCAACATGTACAATAAACAATTTGTGTATGCCTTTATTATATTCATCTCATATAATTATTTGTGGGAAAAAATAATTAAATAAATAAATGAATCACAACTCATCGACTTTTGTGATCATTAAACAAAATAATAATAATAATAATAATAATCCCTCGTACGATATATTGATATGTAATTTTGACATTAAATTTAAGAAATACTAATGTTTTAATAGTAGTTGCTACAAAATAATAAATTAATTTAAATTTTTTAGTGAATGTGTATTTTAATTTAGGAGTAACTAGGTAGTGGTAATAATACTGAAAAAAAAAAGAATAATTTTATAGAAATATAGATTTTTATTAGAGGGTATGTTTGATATAATATAAATGATTGTTTAATCATAATGTTTTGAATAACCAAATAATTTTTAATTTAATATAAAAATATAAAAAATAAAATTTTTATTTCAATATTTATAATGAAAGTTTGATCCCAAATCCACAAACAAATAGTGAATTGTGGTTTGGATGCAATAACATGTGAAAGTAAATAATATATTTTTATAAAAATTTGTGGGATTATACATCAAATTTTGAGGAAAAAAAAAATAATTAAAAAGTGTGTTTGGTAATTATTATTTATTTTGATTTATAATTGAATAATAATTGTAAGTTTTATTGAAATATTTTTATAGATTATATTTAGAAGAACAAAATAGAAAAAAAGTATACATATCTAAAGCAAATTTTTTAAAAAATTAAAAGTAATAGTAAAAAAAAATTAGAATGAAGATTGCATTATGTAAACAAGTGTTGTGAGATAAATGGAATATCAAACAATCAATAATGCATAGTGTGAATTATTTTTGGAGAAACAAATTATTATGTTATTTTGGTACTATTTTTAATAAAAATATATTTTTTTTCTTATAAAATATTATCATATTTAAATATTATTTAAATAAAAACTCAAATTAAAAAATGAATTTTAAATCTAAACCAAATAAACCTTTAATGATTTGGATAGAATTTTTTTTTTTTTTAAATATTATATGAAAAAAAGGATATTTTATAAGAATAAACTATTATTATTATTATTATTGAAAATGATGGTAAAAAAAAATACAAAAATAAAACCATTTAGATATTTCTATCTTGGCCAAGACTTTGCAATAATTGAAGAGTACATATATATATAATACATGTTATTCCCTCCGTTCCACTTATCGTGTTTATTTTTTATTTCTATTATTCTACTAATTATATCACTTTTTTTTCTAGAAAATAATTGTACATTTTAATCAAATTTTATTTTTTTAATTTATAATTTTTTAAAAATTTTAATTAGACTAAATAATTATCATCATTTTAATACTTCTTCCGTCTCGATACAATAGTCTTGTTACTATATTTGTCCGTCCCAAAATAATATTCTCATTTCTATATCATATTGCTATAAAATTATCCTATTTTTTCATTATTATTACAAAATAAATATCAATATTTCTTAAATTTCGTGCCAAACACAATAAGACTATACTTTTGGGACGAATGGAGTATAAAATTATTTTTATTATACAATAATTATTTTAATTAATATATTCTTAATTATTTTCTAATTTATAAAAGGAACACTCAGCACCACAAAGGTAATACAATCCTACATTGGAATAACGTTGAGAATTCTTCTACTCTTATCATCGATTGGCTTTGAGATAGACTGTATTAAATAATTATTTTGATTTATATTATTAAATTATATTATTAATATAATTAAGATAATTAATATTTATATTATAAATTCTTTGTTTAGGATCAGAAGGAACCGATATTGTTATCGGGTGTTGTCAATTTATATATTATATTAAATATAATTTGTTTGCTCTAATTTTATAGTGTTTGTTAACCCTAAACATTAGTGTATATATAATTAATGTTAAAACTTTAAAATGAAAATGACAACATACACACTCCAACCACCCACCCTACGGATAACGACAGCAATAATTTACATGGTGGAAACGACATGTGGAGACACGAAAGCTCAATACTATAACAATTGTATGATTGTTACCCATCTTTTATCTTTTTATAAGCAAAACGCAAAATGCCAATGCAACACGGTCGTGTCGACCCTATCTTAATCGCATCAACACGCATCATCATATATAATAATATTATTACATTCCCAAACGATTACTTCTTTGTGGTAAATAAAAGAACACGGGCGTGTTATTATTGATACTCCATTATTTTTGTGCAAGAGAAGAAGAACAACATATAAACAGCAGAAGAGGCCAGAGAGTACAGAGTTAATATACATAAATGTACATTACCGATGAACAGTAGACGACGGTCTATGCACCGACGGTGGTTGTAGAGAGAATCGTGTCCAGATCGCTTTTGGTGCGAGTAATCCTTTGATCGTCCTTTTCCGTTAGCCAGATTTCTGGAATTGTTTGCACCATGTTTGTTACTGTTTCCAGAGCGTAATCTGCTTCTTTGCTTTTGATTGAACTTCCGACCTGAGTTAGAGATGAAGATGTTATTGATTTGGATTTGAGATTTAACTGTGGTGATTGTGAATTTTTGGTTGAGTTTTTGACATAGAAGAGACAAAAAAGGCAGTGAAATTGATTAATGGATGTGTCAGAAGTTACCAGAACCGTCTGGAGGCCTACCGCTTTCCCAGCGGCAACGTTCTTCACGTTGTCGTCTAGAAACAGCTGAAATCAGGAGGAGAAATGCAGATTTGGTGATGATTGTAGAAATAATTGGGAAAATATAATTGGAAATTAATAGCTTGGGGAGGTGTCTACCGTGCGCCGTGGATCAATCTCAGCAGCATCTATGGCGATTTTCATTGCTTGGAGCGAAGGTTTCAGGACGACAGGGAATTCATCAGGCCGCGAGTTCTTCAGGTGCGGATTCATAGTCTCGAAGCAGATGATTTGCTCGAAGCAGTCTCGGATTCCGAGGCGATCCAAAGCTTTCATGGCGTGAATACGGTCGGAATTTGTGAAAATCTGCAGCAGACGCGGAGTTTAGTAACCAAACGAAGAAGATTAAGAATTTCTAGCAGCTTTGTTTGAAGACGCCTTACGATTTTCCGTTGCTTGATTGATTGCAAGACGTTGCGTAGCCGCGAATCTGGTCGTATCAAATCATAAGGCAATCTTCCGTGTACGAAACTGATAGAGAAACTTCGAAAATCAGGAGACCAATTTTGAACTTTATTTCGCTACAAAATAAGAATTCCAAACAGGATACTGGTAGATATATGGAGCTAGTTTCAATTACCCGTGATAATCGTCAGGATCAATGTCGTTACCCAACGCCTACAAAAATTCAAGATGAAAAACACTAATCGGATCAGTTAACTTCCACAATCAAAGAAGCGAAAATCGAACAGTTTGATCGACGGTTACCCGAAGGCCAGCCAAGGAGCTTCCGTAAGTTGTGAAAAGCTTCCTGTTCACGTCTGGTGCTTCCGATTCCGAAATTCCGCATTTCTCAATAAGGAAATCTGCAGAAGAAACCGCAAAAACAGTAAGATAATCCACAAACATCAAGTCAATATTATAATTCAAATTTTGTTGACACGAAACACTCATCACCATCAACCTTGAACATTCCTTTTAAGCGCTTGGCCGATTCCAGACTTTGAAGAGTACAAAGTATCATCCAAATCTGCTTCCACAACAACAACAACCGCAAAACAGACTCGTTTGTTCAGCCAACAGACTAATACCAATTCCGATCACCAATTTTTCGTTCCAAAATTCATTATAATAAAAAAACACTTTATATTCATCAATCTAAGTTGTTCAATATCCAAATTACACTAAAACAGAGTCGTTCGTTCAGCCAACAGATACCAACTCCGATCACCAACTTTTCGTTCCAAAATTCATTATAATAGCTAAACAAACTTTTATTCATCAATCTAAGCTGTTAAATATTCAGATTACACTACCGAAAACCTGACACAGAAAACTAGTACAGAAACATTGTTCATATCGTTCGTTATATACCAAATAAAAGGCAGTCGAATGGAGAAGCTGAACCACAAGACGAAATGATGCAGGAATCCATGGAAATCGAGAGAATTAAGCTTGCTGTAGACGACGGAATGAATTGTGTGGAGAGAAATTTGAAGGTTCACTGAGAGCAGTAACAGAGGACAGGAGGAGGGCTTTGAGGCTAGAGAGAAGGAGGGTATTTATAGGAATACGACGACGTATTAGGCTCATAAGAAAACGAGTGCCGTGTGACTGCTGACTCAGCGTGGGACCCACACGTGGCATCATCCAGGCCGGTTGCACGTTTCCTTGTTAAAAAATATATAAATAAAAATGCCAATGTTTGGGCATAAATATAGGTGCCATTTTTTGGATTTTTTTTTTTTTTTTTTTTGAATATTTATGATTTGTTTGGTTATGTTAATGATTTGAAATTACTTTGATATGATATTATCAGCATGTTTCTTTTGTGATTTAAAAAAAAAAACAATATATTTTTTTAAAAAAATACAAAATCTAAATAATAGAAATTTGGGGTGTAGAGACTAAAGAAATAAATCTTATGTGATAAAAAAAAATTATTATTTAACTTATTATTTTATCTCTAATAATAATAATATAAAAATAATTATTTAATATATATTTAAATAAATTAAATTCTAAAAATATAACTGTATTTTTTATTGTATTTATATTAAATTTTAAAGATACTATCTACGTTTCGGCTCTAAGGGTCTTATTTATTTTTTGCGTTACAAAAAAATTATACAAATATAAAGATATTTTTAATATTATCTACCAAAATGTAAATGTGGACGGAGTAAATACAATTTTTAAATTAATCCAAATATGCTCTTAGTAATTTTAAAAGTATATAATATAAAAAAACAAAAATAAAAAAAGCATAATATCCCATTAAATCACTTTTACATAAATTCAAACCTCTTACAAAAAAATATGACAAAACAAATTATATTGTGACAAAAAAAAAAAAAAAAAACGAACGTGTCAGAGTTTAATGATATATTTATGATATTGGAAAGAATAAATTAATTCAGTAGTGTAACTCTGTGACGCGTTTAGGATATTATTTTTATGTTATGAGTGCAATAATTCGCACGTTTAACAGCCATTTTTTTAAAAAATTCTTCCAATTATTTGGGTATGTTTGATTTGCCTTATAGTTAAATTTTTGTTTAAATAATATAATAATTTATTATTATTTTTTTAAAAAATAATAATAATATTCGTTTCGTCTTGATACAATAGTCTTATTTACTATTTTTGTTCGTCCCAAAATAATAGTGTTATTTCCATAAATAACCATATCACCTTAAAATTACTCTTACTTTTTCATTTTTATTACACAATTACCACTAATTTTTACACTAAGACACTCACAATGGAAAAAAAGTTTTTTTAACTATATTTTTTTTACCAACTATTAATATAATATAAATATTATTTGAATCTATTGCCCAATCCAGTTAAGATTATAGTTTTATGACGGATGGAATAATATTTTTATTGAAAATTATTCTTATTAAATATAAGAAAATTTATTTTGGAATCAAAACAAAAATTCTCTTAAGTGTCTTTAACCAGAATTTTTGAACGTCGATTTCAAAGATGAAATTGAAATAGAAACTAATAAAAAAAATAAATAAATTGAATAGATATTTAATGCTTATAATATTTTAAATAAAAATTTATAATTTAATATAAAAAGTATAATATGAATATTTAATATAATTTATTTAAAAATAATTTTATATGTAAATAGTGAGATCCAACTCCAAACCCACTCCCAACAACATGAGGCTTTGTTTTTGTTACTCCGTGACTTTTATATATATATATATATATATATATTAAAAAAATATATTTTTTATACAAACATGTATTTGGTTTTAATTTTTAATTAAAAAAATATGATTTATTATATTAAAATTCTAAATTAAAATAATATTTAAACCAAATTTTAAATTAAAAACTCCACTTGCAAATTAAAACCAAACAAATTATATTTAAATTTTAGAATTTCAATTTCTAAATCTCTAAAATTTAAAAAATATATTTTTTTTATATATATTTAGCTTTAAAATATAGTAAAATATACTGAAAAATAGTTATTTTTCTTAAGTTTTAAAAGTTTATTTTTACTGTTTTTTAGGTAAAATATAAGAAAAATGAATATATTTATAATGTTAGGGGTTTAGAAAATGAGTAATTAAAATATATTCACAGTTTGAGCGCATTTAGGTCAAATACCATTAGCAATTTCGTGAAATCACAGGTGGATTTAAGACAATTTAGTCTATATTTTATTAAAATCCGTATGAACCACATGAACACATAGAATGTGTTCATCCAATTTATTTAAATTTTTTTCTCTTTAAATTTTTTTAAAATATATTATAAAAATAATATATATATACATTATCCCTTAATATATATTATATAAATTTTATCTAATATAATAATTTCATACAAAATGATTCTTTGTAACCAACTTAAAAAGTACATTTGCTGAAAAATATGAAAGTTTTCTTCAACCATTTCCAAAAAAATTAGGTAATAATTTGCTTTCAAAAAGTTACTCTCTCTGTCCTAGATATCATGTCCACATTGTCGTTTATATCCGTCCTATATACTATGCCACTTTCCTTTATTGGAAAATGATTACACACTTTAATCTCATTTTAAATTTTTTAATTTTATTTTTTTAAATTTTAATTAAACTAATTAGTTATCTTAATTTTAATTTATAATTATTTATATTATATGATAATTATTTTCACTAATACATTATTAATTATCTACTAATAATACTTCTCCTAAAATACCGTGTCTACAGTGTAGCAGACACGGTATCTGGGACGGAGAGAGTATTAAATAGATTGATGATAAATTATTTATTTTATTCAAAAATTATTATTTAAGATATTTTATTTTATTTTATTATATTAGTATAAAACTTATATGTTTGTTTTAAATCAAATATCAACTTTAGATATAAAATATGTTTTTGTAAGTACACAATAAAATTTCATACAATAAAATAAAATAAAAAAATATTTTTTACATTTTTACAAAAATAAAAAATAAAAAAGATAAGAGATATTATGGAGTATAATTTATCTTATTGTTTGGATGAATATTGCGAGTTAAATTATTACCGATGTTGACAGTGCATAAAATTAATACACAATTGAGTCCAAAAACTATTCAAAAAAGTTAAATTCACAACGCATGGGACGCGTGTTATAATCATAAATAGTGATTTTTTCGATGTCACATCTACCCTCATTTTACATATAGTAATATTTTGTAAGATATTTTTTATTTTTTTAAATAAAAAAAAAATAATGTGAATTATTTATAAAATATATTTAGATATATATTTTTAAGGGTTTGTTTTTTTATAAATTGAAATTAAAAATTAATATTACCTCTGTCCAACGAGGAAGTAAATATATAGTTTTATGTCGTTATATTTAATATTAAAAATATTTTTATATTTATATAATTTATTTTAAAAATATAATTATATTTGTTTTATAAGAGAGTAATAGATATATTTTTATCATTTTCTCTTTATTTGTATTACGTTTTGATATAATAATTAATATTCAAATATCAATATAAAAAAACTACTATATACTTTGTGGCTGAACGAAAATAGTATTATTTATATCATATAAATTTCAGTAAAAATGTATTATTATTTTTTTTTATATAAAATATCATATTAAAATAGTACTTAAATAAAAAATTAAATAAATATTTTATTTCAAATTAATTTTAATTCACAATCAAATAAGCGTTTACTTATTATATTGATATTTACTTTTATTTTTAGTATAATATTATGTAGGATTAATTTTTATATAAACATCGTATATTACTTTATCAATAATTTTCTAAAATATATATAAATAAAAATATATTATTAATTAACACTATTAAAATTTAAAAATATAAATTCTAAAATATAATATATTATAAGATTATGTTATGTGCTATCAATTCATGTATGATCTTGTTATTATTTTAATGTTATTTTTGTCCGGCTTCAAGGGTCTCATTTACTTTTTACACGTTGATATTTGAATATTAATTATTATATCAAAACGTAATACAAATTAAAAGAAAATAACAAATATTTTTATTAGTGTCTTATAATACTATTACAATGATATTTGTGCAAAAACTTATACAAATATAAGAATATTTTTAATATTAAATACAATAACACAAAAAATAAATGAAACCCTTAGAGCTGGACGAAGGGAGTATAATTTATATGTTTTTTTTTTATATACTCTATCAGTCCTATAACTAAATATCCATTTGTTTTTTACATGTAATTTTAGAAATATTAGTATTATATTTGGATGTAGTAGGAATAAATGTAATGATATTTTTGTAATATATTGTAAGTTGCAAAGATATTTGTAATGTTAAATAGATAATACAGTTACTAAAAATAAAATTGATACTTTGTTATGTGACGCATTAAAATAGAAAAATAAATATTTTGTTAGGGACAGAATATAATATATTGTATTTCAAAGTCTATATGATATGATGTTTATCTTTATATAATGTACAATAAGTTTATATATATCATTTATATTATATTAATATAATTTATATATTATTTATATTTTATTATTTACAATTTATTTTTTATTTTGTATATAATGAATTTTATATCTCGACACAATAATAGTTGCAAAAGAACAATAGTATTCCCTCCGTCTTACATACCGTGTTTGTGTCTGTTTCACTGTAGATACGGTATTTTAGAAAGGGTTGTAATTAGTAGATAATTAAGAATGCATAGTAAAAATAATTATTCTATAATATAAATAATTATAAATTAAGATTAAGATAACTAATTCATTTAATTAAAATTAAGAAAAAATAAATTAAAAAGTTTAAATGAGATTAAAATGTGTAATTATTTTTAAAAAAAAGAAAAATGATATGGAATATGGAACGGATAGAAACGGTAACATATGATATGCGGGACAGAGGAGTAATAAATTTAATGGGTATAATGAGTGTGAAAGACAGTATTGCCGTATACGAATTTCCACATACAGATTAAATTAAATTAAATCTGATTAATGATTCAAATGATCAGAATTAGTATTTGTACACGTAGGCTGATAGAGACGTATGACCACCTGTCCTGATTACTACATATGCGGAGTATATTTAAATTTTTTTTTTTAAAAAAAATATATATATATTTTATCATAAAATATCAAATTAATATTTTTAATACTAAAAAAAATTAAAAAAAAATTGGATTTGGGTCAATTGACCCCAAGTCCTAGTGTAATTCCGTCCTTGTTAAGGCCGTGTTTGACTTTAGGGTTTGATTTTGAATTTGAGTTATGAACAATAAATTTTTTTATTTGAATAATTATATGATATAAATAGATATTAACTTGGAGTTTGTTTGTTTAGTATTTTTATTTAAGGTATAATTTTTTAAGTGAGGTATAAAAAATTTGTGTAGATAATATAAAAATAATTTATATTGAATTTGATTTTTTATGAGATGATAATATATATATTATTTATACATTGGGAATCACATCAAAAAAACAAATTATTGAAAGAATAAATCCTTGATTTTTTAATAAAATTAATTTTTAGTATAATATGTAAAAAAAATATAGATATTTTTTAGAAAAAAGAAAATTAATGAATAATAAAATTCTGCCAAAATCTTTGAACAAAACACGCCCTAAATTGGTTTCAATTTTTAAGCTCAAATATGCTAGGGCTCCGATAACTTTAACAATTTTAATTTTTTATAATATAGAAATTTGCTGTCGAAATTTTTCGAGTGCATATTAAATTAAATCTTCGATAAGATACACTAAACAAGTACTCCTTAATAGCACACAAGACTAAGAAGCATCCACAAAATTTAAATACGTGATATTGCGAGAATATTATAATTTTGATGTCGCGAAAATATTATAATTTTAGTTATGTATATTTAATTATTATTTTTACTTACAATTTTTTGTACAACTCCATTTTAATTATTCAAGTACCATATGTTGTGTTTTCGAAAAATTGTTGCAATTTTAGTTATTTATGTCAAACTTACGATTTTCCTTACAACAATAGCAAATATCTCTTTTATATGTTTCATGACAAATGATAGTAAATGCAAAGTTTTGTTCACTTTTTATATTTTATTTCTTTTGTTATACTTCATTCGTTCCAAAAATATAGTCTTATTGTATTGGACACGAGATTTAAGAAAATATTGATATTATATTGATAGTTGGTAAAAAGTAAGGATAAATAACTTTTTTGTCCTTGTGAGTATATTAGTGTAAAAAGTAGTGGCAATTGTATAATAACAATGAAAAAGTAAAGATAATTTTATGGTGACGTGGTTATTTATGAAATGAGATTATTGTTTTGGAAAGGAAAAAAAATGATAAACAAAAACTATTGTATTGAGACGAAAAGAGTATTTAATTTTGTATTTTTCTCCAAATATCTTATATTATATTTTCGTATAAAAATTATATAATCATTGGCTGAAAATGCGCATAGTTACAAGTTCGCTCTCACACCGTTAGATAATCCCTTATGGCAAAATTGTTTTACTTATTCTGTCCAGCTACAAAGTATACATATTTTTATTTTGGGACGTCCAATTACAAAGTAATCATTTCATTAAATACCCCACTTTTTTACACAAATACTCTTCTTTTACATAATATCATTACTTTTATACCAAAAAGTAAGTGCAAAAATGTCATTACACTATGTTTACATATCCATTATAATTAAAATACTATTATTTTTAAACTTCACGTCAAAAATAAATGTATGCTTATTGTTTTGATGAAAAAAATATTTTATTTGATTGTATGTCAGATGTGTATTAATTAGTTTTACTCTGGATGAAGGTAGTAATTATATTTATGTACATCAAAATTCAAAATAATTAATAAAATTTAAACAAAAGATTTAAAATTACATATCCACAAAAACATACACCGACTACTATTAGTTAAATGCAAAATTTATAATTTACTATAAAAGTAAATTTAAATATTTCAAAAAGACGAAAACAGTATTATTTATTTATTTAAAATCACTAAAAAAAATAATATATTTGTAATGGAATTCCGTCCCTAAAGTTCACGTAACTAACGTAATTTTATTCCTAATTCCGTGTCTAATGTCATTAGCAACAGAAAAAATAAATTTAGAGACAAAAACGTTTTGTTACAAAAATAATTTTTTCTTGTAGTGAAACAATATCGTAATGTATCCTTCTATAGTTTTTTGTCCCAATTTTATTATTTATCAAAAAAAAATCTAAAATATCAAACTAAATACCTTTTTTTTTTTTCTATATTATATTAAAAATTAATTTAAATTCAAAACATCACATCGATGTCTATTTATATTACATTATACTACTATTTCAATTCAAAATTTTTACTATTCAAATTTCAAACAAGCGATCATATCAAGCAATACGCATCATATTTATATATAATAAAGTTGCATTAACTTACATATATAATATTTTTTAAAAAGAAAATTAATACATTTTTTTAAAAAAAAAAACAACATTAATAAATAATAAGACAAGAGCTAGCAAAAGATCACAAGAGATCCTCAAACTGCTTCACTTTAATTTAATTCATAATATTAGTTAATAATGTCTTCTTCTCGACCACCTCTGTACTTCTCAAAACCTCATTTCTTAAATATTTTAATTAAATCCTGGATTAATTGACCTGTCTGTAAGCACTTCCATGGCCATATATGAACCTTGCATTCCCTTCTGTGTACACATGACTCTCATTGTCCAAACTGCCAATTCCAAAATTCAAAATTAAACCTCAATCCAAACAAAAAAAATAAAAAATAAAAAATCGGCGAAAATGAACATATATACGCTCACGATTTTCGGACAGCTTTGCTTAAGGTAGACGATGAAACGAATGTCTTGCCATCAAGATATCGATTCTCCCCTTTAATTCTCTGCTTGATTCTGATGTCCAATTCGTCAGCATTTGCTATTAATGGTGAATCCGAAGCCTATTTTTCATTTGAATATATATATATATAATTATTACCTTAATCGAACTAAATGTAATAATCATATATTTTGGACAAATGAAGTTGTCGAGGAAAAAAATTAATGAATAGTACCATGATCCATCCCCAAGTGTCGGCGTAGGAAGGGATGTGAGCCGAGTAAGGGACAACATCTACATACACGTGCGCGCGCATGTTAGATCGAAAATTTATTTGTCGATAATTGGATTAGTTTGATTGTCCGAATTGAAATGTTTTGGGACATATTTACTTACATTTGAAAACTTGTCTCAAAGTGTTGTAGATGCAAGAAAAGACTTCGGTGTGGCTGAAAATCCCCGCTGGTCCGGCCTGTAATAACATTTCGATATTATACTTATAATACTTATATATGCATAACCGCTTTTGGTTTTCGATAAAAATATATTTTTATGACTAAAACAAAAATCAAGAAAAAATAATTCTTCATTCCATAACTATAAAAAAAAAATGTAATAAATTAATGAATAATTGTCTTATATCAATGAATAGGTTTGTTATTCCTCCGTCCCAAAAAAATTGTTTTGGTTTTTCATTTTCGTTCCTTCTAAAACAATTGTCTTGTTTCTTTATTTAGTAATTGTGGTCTCATTTTACAACAAAATTATTTCTACTTTTCCACAACTACCCCTAATTATTACTCTAACCTACCTTTTAAAACATTTCAAAAAGCAAAGTAATTTAATCTTTTATATTCTACTTTATATCAACTTTTAATTAAATATTATTATTCTTTAATTCTCGTGTGAACTCCCAACATCATCTTTATGGGACGGATGGGACGGAAGGAATATAAAATATAAATATCGGAGTTTGAACTCATAAGCTTATACATACCACTAAATTATATCTTACAAGATTCAATAATACTATTGAATTTGTCAATTCTTGTGAATAGACATCTCTCGTGTTTGAATACACAAAATGGATGGCTGATGAGATATTACACTTTGTTTATTTACCTATTTTCATTCATTTTGTACTATTTTTTTTTTAAAAAAAAAACAAAATTCATATCAAATATATTTTTTTTCTCACAAAACATATCAAAAATCATCTCACCAAATACTAATATTTTATTTTTTTTCAAACTTTCAAAATTCCAAAAACACCATTCTAAACAATGGTTTAACGTAATGATAGCAAAATACCAACAATATTGAAATAGATAAAATATATATATATATATATATATAGAGAGAGAGAGAGAGAGAGAGAGACCTGTGTGACAAAAACTCCATTAGGTTTGAGGGTAGGTTTGATGATGAATTCATAGAAGGATTTGGTGTAGAGTTGGAAGCATGGACCTCCTTCTATGGGATCTGCTAAGTCCCCTATTATTACATCATATTTCTCTTCTCTTCTCTCAAGTTCAGCCCTACATAATTCATTCCAATATATTTTATTATATTAATTCTGTCTATTTATTTATATTATAAAATAAAAAAACAAAAAATTGAGATGTTGTAATAACCTTGCATCATTGATTACTAACTCCAGTCTTGGATCAAAGAAAGCTTCCCTGTTGACCAACAAGTGTGACCTGCAAAACTCAACCACTTCCTGCACATTTTCATGTCCAAGATTTAGTTTTTATATATATCTATAAAAAAATATGGTGGGGGTGGGGTGGGGTGGGGTGGGGTCTTAATTTTGTATTTATTTGTATATATAGATATATATATATTACCTCATCTATGTCACACATAATGACTTTTTCTACAGTGGAGTGTCTGAGAATTTCTCTTGCAGTGGAACCTTCACCTCCTCCCATTATGAATATGGTTTTTGGACTGAAAATTAAAAACCCATTTGTTTAATTTAATTTAATTTAATTTAAAATGTGTCAAAAATAATTTATTTTAAAATTAATTAATTTAATTACTTGGGGTGATTGAGGAGAGAAGGATGGACCAAAGACTCATGGTAGATGAACTCATCTATTTCTGCACTCTGAAGCTTCCCATCAATCACTAATGCCTTAAATTAACCAAACAAAAAAATATATGTACAATTAATTAAAAATAATATAAATAATAATAATAATAATAAAATAAAGAATTATATATATATCTTATTACCTTGCCAAATGGTTTGGTGTCAAGAAGTTGAATGTCCTGATACTGAGAAGCACCTGTGTGTAATATACTGTGGCAAGAAAATAAACAAACAAATATTTATATTACATGGTTTTAGTGACAATGGAAATACTAAATTAATTAATTAATTAATTATTGTGCTTTCTTGATCGATCTTCTATGTCTTTCTTGCCTTAGCTTTTCATGGACAAAGTGACTAAACACTAGCAAGATTCAAAACCAAACCCTAGTTTCCATGTTTTAAAAACATAGGTTGTAGTAACACAGTGGATCTCTCTCTTCCTCTCTCTCTCTCTCTCTCTCTCTATATATATATATATATATCATATATGTATGTATAAGATCATATGTAGAAAAATAAAAATGAATAATTAATTACCTCTTAAGGGCAAAGCACCATCTCAAATTCTCTTCAATTTCTTCTTCATACCAACAGCTCTTCCTCTGATGAACAGTAGCATTCCCATTGATATTGGACACTGAAATATCACCCATTGATATATTTTTATTTTTAGTTTTTTTTAGAGAGAGAGAGAGAGGGGGTTGGGAATGAAGTGAAGCGAAGAGGAAATGGAGAAGTATAGATGTAAGAATTAATGGGAAATCGAATGGATAGATATATGGATATCTATACATACATATATATATATATGTATTGTTGTATTTTTATTAATAATAATATTATTGTCCAGAATATCTACATGGATTTTCGCAACTTAGTAAGAAATTAAATTAATTTAAAAAAAAGGGTGTATGAGTATCTATGGAAATTAAAAAGTGGAATCATAATGAAGATCACAAAGCATGTCATGTACAGCTAGCTTGCCTGCGTTTTCAGAGGTTGATTTGATTTCTTCCTCGCGTGGCTTTCTTCATCAATTATTCCCACACCTCAAAATTAATTAATTAATTATGCTATGTTGTAATTAGACACAGTATTTTAGAAGGGATGTAATTAATACATAATTAAAAATATATTATTGAAAATAATTATCCTATAATATAAATAATTATAAAATAAGATTAAGATAATTAATTAGTTTAATTAAAATTAAAAAAATAAAATAAAATTAAAAAATTTAAAATGAGATTAAGGTGTGTAATCATTTTCTAAAAAAAGAAAGTGACATAGTACGTGGGACGGACAGAAACGGCAACGTCCACATGGTATCTGGATCTGAGGGAGTATTTTTTTAGGGTTTGTTGGCCTGATGGTTTTTATTTTTATTTTTTTTTTGTTATATTGAGTTTTATTTTTATTTGAGTATAATATTTTATAAAATAGAATAATATATTTTTATTAGAAAATGTTAAAATTTTAATAATATAAATTTTAGAAATATGATCAAATGAACAAATAATTATATGTGTATAGGGATTTGCTTATACGTATTTTCAAATGAATATTGACACTATTTATTATTAAAAATAAATAAATCTTGTTAAATATTTATATTTAAAATCTCATAAAAATTTAAGTTTTTGGATAGAGATTTTTTCAGAAATAAAAAAAGTAACAAATATTTGATATAAAGTTTTTTGTATTAAATATGTATTTAGTACGTCTTTTTTTTAAAAAAAAAAACATTAATAAATAGTATCAAAGTTAAAAATATATATGCATCATGGTCTTATTTATTACTTTTATATATATATATATATATTTTTATCAAAATATCACATACAATACATGTTTGCGTAACATTAAAGGCATATTTTTCATTAACCTTTTTACTATTATTTTAACTATTCAACGGTTTAAATTTGGGTTTGAATTTAAACAGTAAAATTTTGAATTAAAATAATTATTTGATATAATATAAATATATATTGTTGTTGAATATAAATTTATTTTTAAGTATAATAAATAAAAAAATATTTAATTTGATATTTTTAAGTATAATAAATAAACAAATTTAGTTTTCGTCAAAATTGAAAGTATTTATTTTATCATTTTTGTTCGTCATCGCCACTCTAATAGAAAGAAAAGGTAAGGTCCAACTTTAAAAAGAAATTAATTTTTTATTATAGTAAAAAGTAATTACACTGATATCAAAATATTTTAATTATTTTTTTTACAAAATTACAAATATATCATTACACATATACATAAAATACCAAGGACAAACTAACTAATAAAATACTTCAGATATAATTTACCTAATGTAACTTGTCTTATCGTGCTTATTTTGCAGGCTATTATGTTCGATCAAAAATTTACTTAGAGCGCACTAACGATTGTAGATTTCCACATTATAAAATTAAATATATAAAAAAAATTAAAATACTATTTTTTTTTCTCGATCTATTACAAAAATCTAAATGAATATTTTCTTTCCAAACAAAAAGAGTATTATTTGTGGTATAAATATAAGTTTGGTGGATTTACTTGAATGAAAAATAAGCGTAATTGCACAGGTTGAGGAGTAATAAAAGAACATAAGTATTTTGTTTGTTTGTGTGTTTGGAGTTTTGGATTTTGAGTTGGGATTTAAATAGTAAAAATTTTGAATTTGAATAGTTGTATGATGTGATATAAATAGGTGTTGATGTGATGTTTTGAATGTAAAATTGATTTTTAGTATAATATAAAAAATGAAAAATAAGCGTTTGATTTGATATTTTTTGAGAAAAAAAATGAAATGAACAGTGGATTGGAAATCCAATCCCCCAAACAAACACACCTCACATTTTGGTCTTTTATTTTTTAATACTATAATTTTTTATTTATCAACTTAAATTTTTTTCTTTATTAAAGATATTATACAAAAAATAATTTCGTTTATTTAAAATATCTAGTTAAATAATTTTTAACTCAAAATTTCCTACTCTAAAACCTACAGTTTAAGTGCAAATATTTTGTGTTTCTATCGAGTTATTATCTAATTTTGTACTATCGAATTTTCTATTTCTCTCTTTTTTTTTATTAGAAATTATGACACCCTCTCTGTTCCAATTAAAATGGAATTTTCGAAATTTTGTAGTAAATTTAAAAATATTAATATTTTATTGGTGAATAAAAGTGTGTAAGAACATTTTTTACCTTTGATTTTATGTATAAAATAATTATATATTTGTAATTTAAGTAAAAATTAAAATGATATTAATGTATAATTACTATTTTTTAAATAAGAAAGATATTTTTTTAAATAAGACAAATGAAAATAATAAAAGTACACTCTCCGTCCCAAAAGAAGTGTCTTATTGACAGTTGGCACGGGAAGTAAGGAATAATAGTATTTAATTGAGAGTGGTTATAAAGTAGAATGTAAGGACTAAAATACCCTTAATTTTTGAAAAATTTTAAAGAGTATATTAGAGTAATAATTAGGGGTGGTATGAAAAAGTATGAATAATTTTGTTATAAAGTGGAGACCACGGCTACTAAATAAAGCAATAAGATAATTATTTTGGGACAAATAAAAAAAAAAAAAAAAAAAGACAAATCTTATGAGACGGATGAGTAATATTTTGAATTGGGACAGAACATTAAATATTATTTCAATTACACATTATGTCTTCTCTCCAATTACCTACATACCTTAATCATCAGACTAAAAATTTTATTTTATCATTTTCATCTATTTTATTAAAGAATATTTATTTATATAATAATAAAAATAATCAACGCTAGTACTATATTTTTTTTTTAAACTTTTATATTCAAATACAATTAATTTATACCTAAAATATTAAAAATAAAAATATTAAAATTATAAATACTAATACTCTCTTCGTCTCACCGGAATTCAATCGTTTGATTAGGGATCGGCATTTAAGGTGAGGATGTTTAATTAGTTAATAATAATTAGTTATGATATTATTATATTATTTTTTTGTATAATTTAATGATATTTATATTTTTAAAGTAAATTAAATATATATGATTAAAAAATTAAAATATATGTTTAAATATTTAAAAATTATATAGCAATTAAAAAATATATGCAATATGGATATTATTTTGCAGAGAATAATTTTTTTTATAATACAAGTAAATAAAAAAATATATTTGTTTATTTATAATTAACATAAATCAATTTTATAAAAGATATGTAGTTTTAAATATAGATAAAAATATTAATTTTTTTTGGAGATAGAGAGGTAGAAATAAAAGGATTTTGAGTGATCCTATGTCATTTATGTATGTTATGTAGTTAATTAAGTTGATTTATATTTATTAAATATATTTTGATTTAATAATTTTTATCAAAAATAAAAAAATATCAATGGTTACAAAACAGACAAAAATAAAATTAATATCAATTATAGTGCGATTGAAAAAGTATTATTTTTTTAATTTATTAAATTCTACCCGAAAGAAGGGAATAAAACATTTGAAATCCAATATAACCTAAAAACATACACGGTCAAGCGACTCCATGGACTTCAGGTCCTGCTGCACTGGATAAGGTCAATTGACGAGCTTGGATCGGGCCCACCAAGAAGAAAGGGATGAGATGGGAGCCAATGGGACGTGGACACGTGGAATAGGATAATCATGAGGCTTCCGGACATTGGGCGATACACAGACACGAATCATGGATTGCATTGCATTGCATTTGCATTTGCATTTGCATACCCTTCTTGCATGCATGGTGCTGCTACATATAAAGCTGTATAACTTTTTATTTCAATTTTTATTAAATAAATATTTTGTTAAATTTTAATATATAAAAAATAACATTTTTATATTAAAAATTATATAAAATTAAATAACATTGATTTCAATAAAAGAATAAAATCAAATAAATCAAAAATAAATTAGGCTCGTTCATCCAATAGTTTTTAGACAACACAACTGTCTATAAATATTTTAAAGATGTAATAGCATGAAATAAACATATGTTTTGTATATTTAATATTAAAAATATTTTTATATTTATATAGTTTATTCCAAAAATATAATTGTATTTATATTATAATATTTTTGTCATTTTTTTTTATTTATACTATATTTTGATATAATAATTAATATTTAAATATGAACACAGAAGATCTACGGTATATATTGTAGCTGGACGGAGATAATATATAATAACATAATATATAATATATATTTTTTTTTTATTTACAAAAAGTGAATAATTTAATACAAAAAATTATATTTGTATTATCGATACGATTTTTTATATTTAACTTAATAAAAATATATTAAATAAAAAACACAAAATAAACAAACTGTATTATATAAAATTAGAATTTGTTTATTTGTTTTTTTTTTATTATTTCAAATAAATTTCAATACTATGGTCCTTATAAATATATATTCCCTCTGTTCCATAACAAAGTATCCATTTTTCTATTTTAGTCCGTCTCATAACAAAGTATCAATTTCATTTTTTAGTAACTGTACTATCTACTTAACATTACAAATATCCTTACAACTTATAATATATTACACAAATACCATTACTTTTATATCACACGTACTAATAAGGTTATTTTAGTCATTTATACTTTATTCTTACTATATCTCAATATAATACTAATATTTCTAAAATTACGTGAAAAAGCAAATAGATACCTAATTTTGAAACGGATGAAGTATTATTTTTATATTACAAAATTTCAAATCAAAATATACCATCAATTTAATTAAAGAAGAAGATAACGATGAAGGTGATTCTAGAGTAGGATAGAGCAGCAGGTAGGGGTAAAAAAATTTGAAATAATAAATTAATGAATTTTTTTTAATTTATTTTTACATTGATCTTTTGAACAGAAGATATACTTTTGATTTAATATTTTAAATAATAAACACTGAATATAATATTTTTAAAAAATAATACTAATAATTGGCAGATAGTGCAAAATATTCTGATTCTTGATGAGATTGAACTTATTTATTTATTTATTTATATTGAATTTATATAGTTATTGTTACTGATCTGTGAATGAAAAAAAAAAGAAAAAGAAAAGAAGACAACTTTATGGTCAGAAATGTGTGATTAAATTAAGGCGTGCAGTGGTGTTATCATTCCTATTCATGTATTCTGATGTAGCCACCCACGCCGAGCCGAGCCGAGCCGAGCCATCAGCGGCGTGCTGCCCAACCCTACTCATACTCTCACACTCAATCATCACCCTCACTCCTACCTCCATTCATTACTTACGCTCTGTTTGGACATTGGTTTTTTGAATCTTGATTTACTTTTTTTTAGAAAAAAAAAAAAAAAAAAAGAAAAGAAATTTAAGTTTAAATTCAAATTTAAAAGAATATACATCATTTATTTACACAGATCAATATAATAGTATTTTATAAGATAGATAAATAGTTGGTGTGATATTTTTTCAAAATATTTGAATACGAGATATATATATATTTTGCTTAAATTACCAAATTTAAAAAAAATTAATTAATTAAAATGTGTGTTTGTTTTTGACATGCACCATTGGAGTGATTATAGTCTTTTTCTTTTGATGCATTATTTTGCTTTGGAATTAATGATATTCCTTTTCAAAGATTTAAAAAAAAAAAAAAAGAATTGCTAGAACTGGGAGAGACAAGAGGAAAGGCATGCATGCATATATCACTCACTACTTAGGTTAATAATAATAATAATAATAATAATAATAATAATAATGTTGTAGTGTATGATTATTACTACAAATAAATAAATAAATAATAAAATCTAATAGTAATTGATTAGCCACATGTCAATTGATGATGTTGTTGTTGCCACTCCTTTTTAGGGTACACTAATGGCCCCAATGTGTGTATATATATATATATATTTATATTTATATGTGTGTGATGATGATGTCAAAAGGACATAAGCATGATGAAATAATGGGCCGAGTCGACCCAGGCCCGTCTAATATGGGCTCAAATTATATAGTTCGGATTCGGCCCAAAATATACAAAAGATCATTTTAAACGACCTAGAATGGGCCCATGTCGGATTTAGGTTGATCTCAAGAATTATAGTGTTAAATATGTTTGATTAAAATTTTAATTATTATCCAAGTAGGAAGTGAAAAGGAAACACTATAAGAAAAAATCATTTTTGTAACAAAATTTTTTTGTCAATAAATTTACTTTTTCCGTTACTAATGACATTAGAGACGGAAATAGGAATGAAATTACATTAGTTACGTGAACGTTATGGACGGAATCTCGTTACAAATATATTAGTATTTTTTTTTGTAGTGAAACAGTTGTAGTGATAATTTGATTGTTTCGCCATTTAATAAATTGTGGGTTTTTAATGTTTCTTTAGATGAGTTTAAAAAAAAAAAATGGTTTGGGTTTGATATTAAAATAATGTATGATGAGATATTTTGTGAAAGAAAAATGTATTTTTTCGGAAAATGCATAGTCCAAATAGTAAAAATCGGAGGTTTGGGCAAAAGAAACATACCCTAAAACATTCAAGACTTATTTCAAATTTGTACTTTTTAATCATATATATATTTATATGTATGTACACATTACAATTTAACTTTAAAAAAAAAACAATATTTCGTCATTCAACATCAAAACTCATGTTTCAACCACAACTCTCCTCTTAGGACATTTTATCCATTGGGGTTTTCTTCATACAAACTTTTGTTATTACAACATAAATTAATGATCATCGATATCCCATGAACCCAAACAACAAAAAAAACGAACTTAGTGAAGTGATTATTATAAAGGATTCAATTCAGACAACAATGGATTCCTCTCGAAGAAATTTGTTGGCTTAAGCTCGAAACCGTCGTACAAAGTTGGCATCACCGGGAAGTCTTCTTGCACGGGATTGTGATGAAACCCCACACTATACCACACTACCAAGTCTTTATTCACTATCTCCCGATTCCTATTCCAACATCAATCGCAATTGAATCCAATCGAACTTAATTAACAAATATTCGAAATCATAAAACGTATTAATTTGAATCGATTGAACATTTCAATTAATCGAAAATAACTCTAAAAAGATCACATTCAATAAATAACTTCAATTAATAAATAAATATATATCGTAAATATTTTGAACTGAACCAAACTACGATTGAAAATATATTTACATGTGCAATTATACGGGTATAAATATTAATAAAATTTCATTAATATAATATAACTATTAATATTCATTTTAAAATATAATAATTGTATATAGAAATCAAAATAAATTTTGAAAACCAAAACTGAAATCGAACTCTACTGATTCAAACAAATATCAAATACTTCCTCTCGTCCATCTCTAAGGGTTATATTACATTTTGCGTCATTGTACTTAACATTAAAAATATCTTTATATTTATATATTTGTTTTATACAAATATCATTCTATTAGTATTATAAGACACTGATGAAAGTATTTTTTGCAAGGTAGTATAATATTTGTATTCGAATCAAATTTTTCTATAGTTAACCGTTATTTCAATGTGGTTCAGTTCTATCTGAATTTTTCACCAAGATATTTAAAATCAAATCGAATAAAACCAATCAAATAAATAAATACTGCCTCCGTCTCTTATATCACAGTAGATACAAGAATGTAGAAATGGTATTATTAATAAATAATTAAAAAATATAGTAGTAAAATTAATTATAATATAATAAAAATAATTAAAAAATTAAAATTAAGATAACTAATTAGTCTGATAAAAATTTAAAAAAAATATAAAATATGATTAATATTTTTTTTTTTTTTCAAAAGAAAAAGTGATATAAAATATGAGACGGACATAGATCGAAAATGTGATATTATATATATGTATATATATATATAAGACGGAGGGACTAAATAATATTTGTATTCAAAGCGAATTTTTTCTCAATCTATATATATGTTTTATTTTTTTAAAAAGAAATCAATTTAATTTAATTCAATTCAACGGTTGAACAATTCAATGTGGTTACTACCTGCGGCTCCAAACGGCCAAGCCGTCGTCGCCCCGGCTCCGGTCGGCGTAAAACCCTCCGGCCCACCTCTCCGTCCTGTTATAACATGTCACCCAAATTTGATATTTTGTGTAAGAACATCTTATCTGCGGATAGTCATCCCCGGCCAGCAGTGACGTCGCTGCCCTGCCAGGGACAACCTTATAACTTACAACATTCCCGAGCTTTGTTTTCTTCTTAGGATTACTTATCAGCAGCTCCGCCGGCTCCTCTCCTACCCGAAACCTTGCCTCGCCTTCTCTTTCAACCGTTTCCTTAACAACGGTCCAAAAGCTCTTCCTAGGCGAGTCGCCGGGATTCTTTGTTAGGACACGCTTTAGCGTTGTCTTAACTAGTGAATTGTCCGGTCCATCCGTGTCGAGGTCTAGGTAGTATGTTAGAAAGTGATCGTGGTTCCCGGCTATGGTATTTTCGGCTACAAGTGTACCGTAGATGTCCTTAGTTTTTATTTGATCGGTTTTGTTGTATTCTGTAGCTTTCATTTCTAGTACACCGGTTAAACCTACGCCAACGTTGATCAAACCGCTCTTCTTGAACTCCCAATCGAGTATGTAGTCGTAGTTCCCGACGGTCGCCACCATTCTTACAACGAGGTTGATCTCCGGCTCGCCACTTATTACCTACAATTAGAAGTAAGGTCGAAGAGACAACGTCGTTGTCCTAACAAGTGTGACGAGTCTATGTAGGAGCATAGGCTCCGTTTACATAGAAATTTTGAAAGTTTCGGAGTTATAAAAAATTATGATAATAATAAAAAGTTGAAAATAGTACTCCCTCCATCCCAATAAAGATGAGTCATTTTGTTCAGTAAAAATGAGTCATTTTGTTAGGTACACGATATTTGTTATTAATAATACCCTATGATATTATTTATTTTTTTTATACGAGTAAATTTATTAGTATTTTAAATATTTTTAGCATTATCTCTCAATAAAAAATATATAATATGGATCTTATTTTATAGAAAATAAAATTTTATATAATATAAATAAATAAATATATATATATATTTATTTATTTATTTAGCATACCATAAATTAATTTTATAAAAAAATGAAGAATTTTAAGTGTAAGATTCTTACAACTTTGCCCGGCGTACCGATCTCCGTATGCCTCCACGCGATCTTTCCGGGGCATGTCTCGAAAATGCATATCGCCCGCGGGACTTCTTGCGCTTCCCCGTCTGCGCCGGCCATGTATCCGTTCATGTACACGGCATTTTTAGGACAATCCATAAGGGGGACAAGAGAATTTGCGGACCGTCCGAATCCAAATTCCCCGACATCCATGAAAGTTCGGTAGTACCAATCGGGCGTCGGATCCATATACGGCACGAATGTCTCGGACACATGCCCTCGATAGAGCACGGACCGGAATTCCCGTTTCGTCGAATCGTAAATCGAAGCTGTCGATATAATCATCCCCGCTCTCGCGTCGAACCCGACGTGGAAGCGCCAATTCGACCATCGAACTTCATGCCCCGCGACGATTACGTTCGTCCCGTTTCTGTTACACGAACCCTCGTTAAGATTTCGCCCTCGAAACTCTGTACCTTCGATTTTCGGCAGCGGCGTTTTCGACCTGTCAATGTACTCGATCACCCGTAACGCCTCGACGTCGATCGACAAACTTATTCCTTCAATAGGCCTTGCCCAAATGTTAGAAGTCCCTCCTCTGTAAAAACATGTAACTCTTACAACTCTTCTTCCCGCAGCCTCACCAAACCAACCTGTTGTAAGAGGGAGACATGTGACTTCAGACAAGTTCAGCCCGCGTTGAAAAATCGAATCTTGAAACCGAGAATCCGCAAACGGGAGGCGGCTGGCGCGGAGAAGCTCGACGAATGTGAATGGCGGGTAGCCATGGCCCGAATGGACTTTATCCGATACGATCGAACCGTGGATCAAGTTGACGATAAATTCACGGGTCTCGTCGTTCACTCGAACCACCACAATGGCTCGTCGGGAAGGGACCGGATCGACACGCCTCGCCGGAGCCGACAGCCATTTTAGGACAAGGTGTTTATTGGGCTCTTCAAGATCAAGAAAATGGAAAGTTAGATTGGCAAATGAGGCATATTTGGAGTTCTTGATTGTAAGTTTGATTTTGTTGATCTCCTTAGGGGTAAGAGGATCTAAGGGATGAGAATAGCATTGTGTTTTTGGGGAAATTAAAAGAATGAACATTGCAAAGAGAATGGATAGGGAAAGTTCCATTTTGGAAGTATGTGATTCAAGAATTAGGACATGGGAGTTTTGCATTGTGTGAAAATATTTAAGTAGATATAAATTCGTTAAAGTAGTGATCATTGCAACTATTTTTGCTTGCTTTGGTTGGGAGTAAACAACACTTGATTACAAGTTATAGTTTAAAATGAATTTGCCTTATAAATATTCAAACTTTTTTTTTTTTTTTTTTTTTTTTTCCTTTTGGTTCCTTTCTTGTTTCTTGATGTTGCAAGTGATCATATTCACATATATATAAATATTGTACTCCTACCATCTATCTCCGAAGTATCCGTTTAATTATGACACAAAATTTAATTAATATTGTATTTTAATAATAATAATCGACATATACTACTTTTGTGAGTATGTAAATATATTTTGATTTTTGGCCTCATACACAATAATATAATACTATTGATGTAAATATATTTAAGAGTATGTTTCTTTCGATTGAGTTTGAAAAAAATTTAATTTGAGATTGATATTAAAATATAAGATAGAAAAAATATACTATCTTCCTCCGGCTCTAACGGTCTCATTTACTTTTTGCGTATTGATCTTGAATATTAATTATTATATCAAAATGTAAATTGCAAAAATATTTTGATTATTGTCTTATAATACTAATAGAAAGACATTTGTACAAAAAAAAATTATACAAATATAAAGATAATTTTAATATTAAATATAACGACGAAAAACGTAAATGTAATCCTTTGAGGCAAATAGAGAGAATATTAAATTGATGAAAAGTATGAAAATAGAGAAATTGAAAATTGATTTGGTATGACATAAACCTCAAGCTACAAGAGCCGTAAGCATTGTATAAACACATTGTGCTGTAACAATCAAGGGAGAAGCTAAGCAATCAATCTCTATTCATTCTTACATCCATACAAAACCAAACAATATCCGAAATCTGAAAATCCAAAATCCTCGACAACACCGCTATCCTTACAACTCCACGACATCGCATTCAAATTGCAAATCGGCAAAATGTCGTCGACCCATTTCTCCTCCGTCGAAACCCGAGTCCGAAACACAAAAACCGCGTAGCCCAACCGCGATCGAAACAACCAATCATGAACGTCCCAATAAACTTCGACCGGCGCCCCGTCGACCAAAACTCTACAATTCCCGCGAAATTTCCACTTCAAATGCTTAATTCGCATAACTATCTCAGAATCGATCCGAATCGTGAGGGAAGGATCGTCGCCGCCGCAGCCAGGATCGCACTCGATTCTAACATCATGAATCGAGCCTTCGCCGCCGGAAAATTGTACCTTTGTTTGGTACAAATTCTTGCCGGAAAGATGCTTTCTTTTTGACACTAACATTGAATTATTTTTACTACAAGATGGATCAAAAACTGCCCCTGTTTTCTTACATGCTTCTTTTCTCAAATCCCCAATTAACAAAACCATCTCCCCTTCACATACAACGGCTATATAATACCCACCCGACGGCTCCGGCCCGGACCCGGACCCTGACCCGAATTTGCCTCTAGGAAGATCCCAAAACAGTTGAATTTTGGATGAACATTTGGATCCTTTTCTTCTTGAGATCAGAGAAGGCTTAACATCGACTTTGAGGATACATTTGTAAGAAGAATCACTAATTTCGATGTTTAGACAATAGCCCATCAAATTCTTAATCCAAACAACACTCACCAACCATAACTCACCAAGAAATTCACATTTGTACAATGATTTGACTGAATTATTACAAGATTTGCTCAAATCAAATGCACTAGATGATGAAGAAGATGCATCTGCTACAGGAACTCCATTTTCCCCAAAACAAGAAATCAAATCCCTCATTTTTCTTTCAACAAATTAAAAATATATATATATTTATAAAAGAAATAAACTAAAAATCAAATCCTTACACAATTCTTGGAGGGATTTGCCTCTTCGTTTAGGGTTTTTGTCAATTCACAAATCAGTTTTGGGGTAAATAAGGAGGTAAGAAGATCTGAAGAGGTTTCGACCAAATTGTGCGAGTCAAGAATCGTTAATATTTTGTGATTCTTTTTCCATAGCTAAAGAGGTTTGAACTTTCACTATCAGCTTTGCTTGTAGAATGGAGAAGAAAAGTAGTGGTCAGTGGTCACATGCTCAGACACTGTTAATTCGATCCCAACGTTGAAAATCAGCGAGGGAAACATTAACAGATAAAAGATTCTTACCTGATTGATTGATTATGATCACTCACAAATCGCTGTAGTAAAAGTCCTCTTCTTTAATTTTTTTTTTTTTTTTTGGATAAAAATGGTGGTTACTGCTCCACTCTGCAAAACCCTAATTTTGATTCCTAAATTCTTGCACATTTCTGGTCAATCAATCCACCAATCAGAGGGTCGCAATTCAGCTACTTTTATTTATTTATTATTATTATTATTTTATTTTTTTTCTGGTTCATGTGCACCAAATTTTCAAACAAATACTTTTGAATTGTCAAAAAGCGTACTAATGTTTTTTTTTTCCTTTTTTAAATTCAAACACGCTTTTAATGTGAATACAAAAAAAAATTGAAAAGAAAAGAAAAGGAAAACAATAGTCACTGTCGGCGACTGCTTCTTCGTCGTTTTTCAGAGACTGGGATTCCGTAGGATTTGTTATTGGGCCTTGGCCCATCATGAAGCCCAATAAGAAATTTTCCTCTTTTTAAGTGTAAAGTGTTTTAAAAATGTAATTTATTATTTATTAAAAAAAATTCTTAAGTGAAATTAAATTTTATTATATATCTAAAATTATTTTATATTTACATGCAATATCATTTGAAGAATTATTTTAATTTGCCTAAGCCCATGTAAGGCACAAATCAATCCAAATCATCAAAGCCCAATTAATTCAATTACAATCAAGAAGGATAGGATTTGTTTGGGCTTTATATGTAGAACAAGGGGTGGGTTTTATTGTAATTTTGATTTTGAATATAAAATTTTGAATTGAAATAGTTGTTTGACGTGATATAAATATATATTAATGTAATATTTTTAATATAAATTTAAAATTTAGTGTAATATAATAAATAAAAAATCAGTGTTTACATTTGATAATTTTTTTTTTTTAGAAAAAAGAAAATTAAAATAGTAAAAGAAATTGTACACGCAAACAATTCCTTCACATTCTTCTTCATCTTTCACATTACATATATATTTTTTGAAATTTTAACATAATTTATTTTTTTTTACAAAATATTACATTAAATAGTTAGTTTTTAAAATTATTATAATTTCTTTCGAATCTCTAAAAATCTATTTTATTACAAGCTATATATTACATTGACTGTCTCTACAAACAAACAAACAAACAGCAAAATTCCAAAGGGTCGGGTCAAACAGTTCCATGCAATGTTATTAGTATTATTATTATTATTATTATTATTATTGAGCTACAGACTACAGTAAAGAAAACAAACCCTATAGTCCAAAAACAATTAAATAAGCAAAAAGACCAAATAATTAATAAATAAATAAATAAATATATAAAATCACTACTTGGGATATTCAAGATTCCTTCCTATAAAGTACATTACTTTTACTAGTCAAAGCCTTCTAAAACATATTTCTAATTTCAATTGCCAAAATAACAAATAAATAAAATAAATAAATAAATAAAAATAAGTGGTTTACGAAATTTGATGAAAAAATAATTTGGATTTAAATTTTGTTTTACCTACTTAGATAATATTGCAAAAAATATTCGACTGATTAATATATAGATATATATATATATATATTTGATCGGAGACTTTTTAAATATCTTATTAATATTAATTCTATGTGATATATAAATATTAATTTTTAAAAATATTTTTATAATTACATTTCGTTTAAAAATAATTTTATTAATTATATCTAGAAGTGTAAAAAGAAAAAATATATATATATTTGATATGATATATATTTGACATTTATCGCATTACCTTTTAATTAATTTTTAATAAAATTTTATAAAATATTTTTATTTTCGTCTCTTTCAAAACAATTGTCATATTTTCTTATTTAATAACTTTGGTCTCTATTATGCAACAATCCCTACTTTTGCAAAATTACTCATAATTATTACTTCAATCCTTTTTTTCATCATTTCGTAAAGCAAAGACAATTTGATTATTTACATTATACTGTATACATCTTTTAATTTAATACAATGAGATTTTATGCAATAAAAAAAAATAAGTATTTTATGCAATTTTATTAAAATGCATCATATAATTTACCTCACTTTTATTCAAATTAGTGTCCGATCGAATAAGCATATCATTGCATAACGAATAAAATATCTTATTGTACAATTTATTGATTATACTTTCAATATTTTATCCAATATCTTGTTACGCTCCATTTATTATATACTTCATCGTCGTCTACCAAACATATGTATATTCATGTATTTTTCATTCATAGCAAGACAAAAAAAATAAATTATACATTTCTTTACAATGAAATTGCTAATAATTTACATATGGTTCAAAAATTTTGGATAATTATTTTATTTAGTCTAATAATAGTGTGATACTGATCATATTTTTTCAAAATATTGCATCAAATCTCCTGTTGTCTACACTAATATAACGTATATTATAATACACGCCAATAATATGAATTCCAAAATTGGCACATTTCATCGATACAAACTAAGAATAAATTTTGGACAATTTTGCCTTAATTTACAATATTATATATCTATGTTTACATATTCAATGTATCCACGAGATTATCACTTTATTAACTAACTTATGTCAAAACTATAATGCTTTTATTATAGTGATAATAATTTATTTATAAATTCAAAAACACTCAGTGACTTCTACAAAAGTATCAGTTTCATTTGTATTTGAAAGGGGCAAAAAGTTCAAAATCATCTTATATACTTCAAAAATACTATTTTTAATATATTAAAAAAAGTATATTGAATTAAAACTAAAAGTATATTATATTCTCTCCGTCCCTAAAGAGTTGTCTTATTTTTTCATTTTTGTTCGTCCCAAAACAATTGTCCCGTTTCCTCATTTAGTAATCGTCGTCCCCATTTTATAATAAAATTATTCATATTTTTCCAAACTACCCCTAATTATTACTCTAACCTACTTTTTAAAATTCTTAAAAAAGTAAGGATATTTTAGTCTTTTACATTTTATTTTATACCCATTTTTAATTAAATACTATTATTCTTTAATTCCCGTGCCAACCCAAGACGCTTCTTCTAGGACGGAGGGAGTATAACATACTATTCCCTCCGTCCCAAAACAATAGGGACATTTGGGATTAGCACGAGGTTAAGAAAATATACGTATTTATATTTTGGGATTTTCAATTATAAAATAATAATTTTATTAAATATTTCATATTTTTCCACAAATACTTTTACTTTACATCAGATCATTACTTTTATATAAAAAAGTAAGAGTAAAAATATCATTACATTATTTTTACCTATTTACTATAATTAAAATATTATTATTTATTAAATTTCGCGCTAAAAATAAATGTATGCTTCTTGCTTGGACGGAGAGAGTATTATACTGATAGTGAGCGTAAAAGTATTTCTAAAAGACCAAAATATTTTTATTTTTATGTAATTTTGTAATTATGTTACTAAAAATAAAAATAAGACTATTATTTCGTAACGTTCGAAAATAACAAAATAAGACTATTATTTTAATACTAAAGGTATAGTCTTTCTAATTTTTGTCTAATAATAATAATAACAACAAACGGACATATGTAGATAGCCAAGGCGGGGTTGAGTAATAAATATTTGTTGTACACTAACATTTAGATCCAAATTGACTTTCTACACATCCAAACAGCTAAACGACAAATATATTCTCACCAAATACTCTCTGCCACTACTGAGCCCAATGCATTTATATATATACATACTTACATAACTGTACAAACAACATCACACCATACTAATCCCTCTGTCCCAATTCCATGTCCAAATTGTCTTCTTTCCGTCCTACATACCATGTCATTTTTTTTTTTTGGAAAATGATTACACACTTTAATCTCATTTTAAATTTTTTAATTTTATTTTTTTTAATTTTAATTAAACTAATTAGTTATCTTAATCTTAATTTATAATTATTTATATTATAAGATAATTATTTTTACTAACAAATTTTTAATTATCTAATAATTACACCCCTCTCAAAATACCGTGTCTACAGTATAGCAGATACGGTATCTGAGATGGAGGGAGTATATAGTACCCACCAATATAACCTTACCCAAAAAAAAATTTAATTAAATTAAATTATACTATACTATATGCATCATTACAAATAATTGAATTGCAAAGTCCAACTCTTGGTTCGAAACAATATTGCTCGATATTCAAATTTTTATTACATTTTGACTATTCGCCACAAAGTCCAACAGTATAAGTCTTCAATTCCTACCAAATTTTAAATTAAATCAAATTTCTTGGGCATCTATATATATATATATATATATATATTTCATATATATGAATTGATGTTTTCCAATGCTGTGTTCATCGTCTCGACCACGCTGTCTTTTTTCTAAGTTGTTTTTTTTTTTTTTTTTTTGCAGAAATCAAGATTTAGACTTTGTAGTAATTTTCACGATATTTCACAACCCACTTTGCACGCAGTCTATTTTTGGTATTTTTTTTAAGAAAAAAAAAATCGGAGAGAAAATTAATTTGCAATAAATATATATTATCAGCAATTTGGTCAAGAGAAATAATAATAATAAAATAATAGTAAAATGGTAATGGGTTTATATATGTACTACATAACCGAGCTTTCTTACGTTGATCAAAACCGTTGAGAGACTGACACGTGTCTCCGGCGGATGATCTGAGGGGAGACGATCGAAATCAAGCCGCCCAACGGGGGACGCATTTTGGACCGATAGATCATCTCATCGTACGGCCGTCGGTAGAACTTCAAGTAAGGTCCAAACGACTCACGTGACCTGTCGCCGCGGGTCACGTGACCTTCCCGCCGGAAGAACAGCGCCGGCGACTGCAGAAACGAAGGCTTCGGAGTCGTCGGCCGGCGGAGCATCGCCGGATCAATTTTCTGCGTCCTCTGCGGCATCGGAGTCGACGGGAAGAAACCCTTCCGGAGCACGTCTCCGCCGCCGGCGCCACGTGTCGCCGGCCGACGCGCCGCCGGCGACGCAAAAGAGAACGACCGAGCGTTGTACGGCGATATTGTGGGCCCAATCGCCGGGTCAGTCGGGCCCACTTTAGATGCTGACGTGTCAGTCAATGATAGGTACCAAGGCTTGAGAGAATCAAAATGGTGTGACACGGTGAACGAAAATCTCGACGAAGAACACGCGCCGAGCTTCCCCCGCGCCGCCGGCGGCGGCTCGAAACGCAGCGACGCGGCGCGTGGATACGACGCCGTTTTGAAGCCGTTGAACTCAAGCGGCTCTTCGTAGTCAAGCGAAGCCACGAACATTACCGCAGCCGACACCTCCAAAAACGGCTTCACTCCCTACAACATTAAAATCCACAAAAAAATATAATAAATCAAAAGCCTAAAATTAATAAATACCTAAGTAAAATTAAATAAAATTCCTTACCTTCCATAGATACGAAAATAGGGAAGGAGGGTCAATTACAAAAGCCCTATGAAGTCTGCCTGGATAGTAATCTGCTACAATCTTCAGTGTAGCCAGAAACATGTTCATAAAAGCTGAAGCCGATCTGAAAAAGCCTGCAATATCCAACACAGCCATGAAAGAATGCAAGAAATTTTCAATCTTAAAAAAAAAAATAAAAATTCAAGACACAATTTTTTGTGGGGGGCCAATCTGACAAAATGGAAGAAGAAAAAAGAAAAAAAAAAGGCAAAACAAGAATTTAGTGAAATACCGATTCTGCCAAACGGGTCCATACCCCTGACGGTGACTTATCAGGGGCAATTCCGACATTTTCTGATAAAGATTCAGACACATATATCCATCTACTATAATAATATGCTGATTAAATTAGGCGTGGCATTGGAAACTATGTACAGTAAGTATTAAATTTGCAGGCTGAGTTAAAGTGAGTATTTACTGTGGAATCCCAAGGCATGGGAATGTACATTAATTGAAGTAGAGATAAAAAAGAAAAAGCTGTCTTTTGATTTGGTCTGTCTGACAGAGAGAGTATGTGTTGATATGACTTTATTTTTCTAACATTCTGGAAATTTACAAACAAAATTAAATCAAAGGGCTAAAAAAAAAAAAAACGATAACTGATATAATAGGGTTGCTTGCTTACTGGCATCAAAGAGGATCACAAATTGCTCCACATTCTTCCCCATTGTTTGGACAGCAACTTCTATTGTGAATACCAGCAACCTAGTAAACCTAAAAAGTTTCAAAAAAAAAAAAAAAAGAATTAAGGGTTATTAATTAACTGTATTGGGAAATTTTTATTTTCAAAAAAAAAAAAAAAGAGTCTGAAATGAAGTAAGCAGCTCCCGGGACCCCAGCGCCAGATGGATCCACAGTAGGGTTGAGAAAGTGATGGATGGTGTGGATCTGTCTGGAGCTGGACTCCATGGAGCTCCCAAGAGTGTTCATCTTCTTAAAGAAGAACACTTCCCATAAATAGATAAGACCAAATACGGTTAAAGCACTGTGCTTACAATTTCTGAGAGTGAAATTTATGGTAGTCTTGCTTGATTCGGAACATCTGTAATTAATAAAAGAAATACAGAAAAGATTTAGTCTTAAATTACATCCAAAAAAATTAAAATTTATAAAAAAAAAATTATGGAAAATGACATGAACAAATTAAAATTAAATCTTACCATTACAGGCCTTGATTCTTCGTCATGCCCAGCCACGTAAGCAACTCCCTCCGCCAGCTCAGCAGAGAACTCATCAGCTATCAAATTATCTTCAAATTCAAAAATTCCAAAACAAAAAAATTATTAATTATAATTATAATAAAAATCAAATCTTTATATTATTAGTTCAACTGCATGCTGACAATGGAAACTGATTTTTGAAAATTGCAATAAAGCAAGATTCCCAGATCACACAAAAATACAAAAAGAAAAACAAAAATATAAAGTAGGTTTATATGGGCTTCTAATTTATTTATTTTCCAATTCCAAACATAATTAATTAATTAAAAAAAATCATTTTTTTTTCAAAAATTTAAAAAAATTAAAATTACCAGTGCCAATAGTGTCTCTCCAAAGAAGACAACTCCTCAGCTGCTTAGCTGCTTTCTTCACATTATCTCCTTTAGCTTTCAAAAACCTCTCCACACAAGAATCGCTGCAAAACTTCTCCTGCAGTAGCGCTTATTATAAAACGCTGAAGTTCATGTAGTAACTGTAGGGAACTGTATCGCAACGAACTGTACCGTAGCTAACCTGTTTAACGCTGAGTGGAGCTTGCTTCTTGAGAAGCTCCAGTACGGATTCCACTCTGCATTTTTCTTTCTGGAACTGTTCCCTCTTCCCCATCGTTATTGCCAAAAAAAAATTAAAATTAAAATAAAATATTAAACTTCTTACAAGAACAGCACTGTAATAGTGAATCCTCTCCTTATTACAGTGCTTGTCTATGAATGACGAATCTCTCAAGAAAACACAAAGATTTCACTCTTCTTCTTCACGCAAACGTCATTTCAAATTTCCACACTGTGCTCTCTTTTGTTGTTATCTGTGTGTTTTAGAGAGAGAGAGATGAGAGAGAGGGAAATGAAAGATGTGAGAGTGATGCTGGTGAATTGGAGTGTGAGTTATATTTATAGCGGTGACGGCGGCCGTTAAGTGCCGAGGAACAGTGCATTAGACGGCGTTAACGGAAACCGTCAGCGGAGTTCCGTTACTGATTTCCCCCTTTTGCCCCTCGCCTTTACTGTTGGAAATCATTCCTTTTCCTGTTTTGAATAGTAGTAGAAGTTTTTTAATTTTTATGTTATTTTTATTAAATTTATTAAAGTTAAAATTAATAATTACTTCATCTATTCTATTTAATTTGTTTATTATTTTCGTATATCGATTCTACATAAATTGTTTTTTTTTTAAAAAATAATAATTATAAACTTTAATTATATTTTAAAATTCATAATTTATAATTTTTTTATTTTAATTAAACTATTTGTTGGGATGGAATAAGTGCAACCCCAATAAATTCTTGTACACTTTTCCAAATGGGCCAACTCCCGAAGCGTGGTAAAATCACAGTTGTAACATTATCTTGTCAACGAAATAAGGGCAAAATCCAAAGCAATAAAAGACAAGATATTTGGTAACCCGGTTCGGTTATAACCAACCTACATCCGGGGGATTCCAATCCAGGAGAAGTTCACTAATCAAGGTTGATTATGAACTAAACAGCCCAAAACTCCTTTATCCCATACTATAACGCAAACCACCTAGGAAAATCCCTCCACAGGTATAAGTTGTCACGAACTCGTACTGACAACTAGCAAATAGCAGGGTTGCTCAGACTTTGGACGAATCTCCTGATCGGATTTCCAATCTCTTCTTCCTCCGACGATGTCTCCGGCAAGTAAATGTGACAAGCACTCTTTCAATGCATGGAGAAGGGAAGGGTTGAGGTTGAGAGGATTTAACTTACTTTCTCTCACAACAGTTCTCTCTCTCTAACCTATGCAACAACCAAAAAAACTTCCCACATAACAAACCAAGAAGCAGACAAACAAGGCATACAGGACAAACTCAATTAAAACCCTTTGCACGTAAGTGGAATGATGTATTCCTGCATGAACTCTGTCAAAGGTTGACCACCCAAAAATTCATTCTTTTTGTCTCTTCTAAGGTTCCCAAATCGAGAAGAGTAGACCAGCAGAGTTGCAGGCAGTCTGTTGAAATGACTTGAATGGAAACAGAAAAAGGCAGCAGGAGAAAAGTAAGAAGAACCATATGCCAAAAATAAGTTGGAGAAAAATATTGTTCCAACATTCTCCCCCTTTTTGGCATATGGGACTTCGCCCAATGTGCAGGAGAATTACTCCCACACCAAACCAAACAATCCAAACAAAAACAGCAGTAAGTCATCAATTTGTTACAGGCCAGCAGAAAACAAACACAGGCTACAGGCAGCCTGGCAAACAAAATGAATGAAATAGTCAGTAGCAGGAAACAGTAGCAAAGCAGCAAACACAAACACCATGCACATCTCTCATGCACATCTCTCCCCCTCGAGAGCAGATGCCAAAAAGGGATGGACGAGCAGTTCAGAGAAGCGAAGGGTCCTCCCCTTCATCAGCAAGTACAGAACCAATCTTCGGCATGAGGTCGACCGCACGGATGATTTTCTGACGATGCTCTCCCAGAGTGATGCGGATGGCAGCTTGTTCTTGCACCACTTCTTGAAGAATTCGGCGGGCTTCAAGAAGCTGTTCGGTCGCATTTCGGGGGATGTCGTCAGTAATGTCGTTGTGCAGACTGAGAATATTCGGTTTGGGCTGAAACACCTCCAGGTTGATGACGTCTTCGGCAGAATCCGGAACAATGCCGTTTCTCTTTAATAACAGCGTGATCAAGGCAGGATACGGTAGGTTCGTGCCTTCCGTTTTCTGACCGCGAGAGAACTTGACCATTTTTGACATCACAATAAAACCAAAGTTAATGTTAGGACAAAAGCGATCAATGGAATACATTAGTTTACCCATTTCAGAACCAATAGTGGTTCCATTGCTGGTTGGAAGAATGTTTTTGGAGCAGAGACGGAAAAGACATTGAAATCTCAGTGAAAGCTCAGAGGCACTGAGTCCTTTTCTACCAAAGTCCACTGACTTGCGTGAGGACAGGAACAGGGCAACATCTTTCGTGGAGTCTTTCAGAAGATCAGAGGGAAGCTCTTCAGGATTGTCAAGAGGGAGCTTTAACAGCTTGTTGATGACCCGCGGGCTTAGCTCAAAAACCTTGCCACGCACATAAGCTTTATGAAACCAGGGAGAGTCTTGATCTAAGACATGAGCAGAAAGGTTAGCGTAAAACTCCTTGACCAATTTTGGACAGTACTTCCGCAATTTGACAGCCCAGTGAAACAGTCCTTTCCGGCGCAGGTAATCGGAAAAACCAACCTCCACATGCTCATTGCTCGTGAATTTCTTTTCAATCACAAATTTTCGGTCGGCGAGAATGTCGTACTCAAACACTTCAGCAAGATCATCAAAGTGTGTAGTATCCATAGCTTGTTGTGCAGTAATGGAATGAGATCCGAGAGCCTTTTGACGAGTTTTGGACTTCTTCCCTTTTATGACTTTCTTTGAAAAAGATCGTTTGAGCCTTTTTCGAAAAGACCCGGGAACACCAGCAGACGACTTCCTCTTTCTGGAGAGTTGTCTCTTTGACGAGGATGGAGTAAACTCAGCCTCCATTGCCTGTTCTGCAGATGGTTGTTGTTCTGATGTCGCAACAACCTCTTCACTACCTTCCACCATTTTTCCAAGTAACGGAGAATCAGGGACTGTGTCTGGTCCAGGTGTTTCGGAAGATGACTCCTTATCTTGAGAAGGAAGCTGACTCACGACCTTGTCAATGAGAGCATCAAGATCTTCAGAAGAAGAACGAGGCTCAAGATTTGTACCTTCTGTGTCAACACCATGAACAACTTGTTCCGTAGGAACTTCTTCTTCAGCAACCACTTCATCTATCTGTGTGTTAGGGACCTCATGTTCAGCAACGTGTTGTGGAACAACTTCCTCAGCATCACCAGCATTTTGAACTTCTTCAGTAACCAGGGGCTCCTCAGCAACCTTTTCGAGTTCTTCAATGGGGGCTTCGCCAGCGATAGTTGGAGGCTCTTCTTCAACAGAAACTTCATTTCCAGTGATGATACCTTCATTTGGACAGACATTTTCCTCTAGAACCTTCGATTGTTCGTTCAAGGACTGTAAGGTTTGAATAACAGTGTCGTCCTCTGTTTTCTTCAGATTTCCCTCGGCCAGTGGCGGAGGATTATTAATCGATTCAGAAACCTCCATGGGATCGGGAGAGGGACTAACAGTTTCACTTCGACGACCACGACCTCTGCCTCGAGTCCCAGCACGCCCACGTCTACCACCTTCGGCTCCGGCGTGACGAACATTCCCAAAACGTGTTCGAGCCATGATTTTTCGCAAGAGAGAAAAGAATGAGGGAAAACCTTGTGACTGGAGGAGGTTATCTCCACAAACGACAACTGCCAAAGGAAATAGCCAGGGTAGAGAGACGATCAGAACACGCCTTTGAATATTCAATTACGAATTCTCCCCCTTAGTCAATCAATTCCCCAAAAAGCTGTCTTGACACAGTAGCTGCAGCGTTGCAGATAACTTTAGGTCACTTCATCTTCTGCAATTTAAATCCCTCTCTCTGGAATGATCCTTATCACCACGATTCCCAAAATCCTATTTCCAGAGTATTTGATTTCTCCCCTTACATATATAAATAAATATATATATATATCTCCAATATTCATCAATGAAATCATAATAAATTGGAGATAAATAATTTTTCACCTATGCAGTGAAATTCAGAGAGGGCATGAACACATACCCAAGTTCCTCCTTAACTTCTCGAATCGGTCTCCATCCAGAGGCTTTGTGAGAATATCTGCTTTCTGTTCAATTGTTCCAATGTGTTGCAGATCACACACCCCATTTTCTACCAAGTCTCGAATAAAATGATATCGAATGTCGATATGCTTTGTCCTCCCATGCTGAACTGGATTCTTGGAGATATTAATAGCACTTGTGTTGTCACAGAATAGAGTGAATGAATCCTGAATAATTCCATAATCATGTAGCATCTGTCGAATCCACAACAATTGAGCACAACAGCTCCCTGCAGCAATGTACTCAGCCTCAGCAGTGGATAGAGCAATTGAATTCTGTTTCTTCGAACTCCAACTCACAATATTGTCCCCAATGTAGAAACATCCACCAGTTGTGCTTTTCCTATCATCGCAACATCCAGCCCAATCTGAGTCCGTGAATCCAATAAGATCAAGACTAGATCTGTTCGAATACCACAGTCCAAGTTCAGTCGTCCCTTTGACATATCTGAGAATTCTCTTTGCAGCCTTCAAATGAGATTCCTTAGGAGCTGATTGGAACCTTGCACATACGCCAACACTGAAAGAAATATCAGGGCGACTAGCAGTCAGATACAGCAAACTCCCGATTATACTTCTGTACAATTTCTGATCAACAATCTTCCCATCATCATCCTTGGATAGCTTATCCTGTTGTCCTAAAGGAGTCCGGACAACCTTTGAATCACGAAGGCCAAATTTCTCAACCATATTCTGAGCATACTTCGATTGACTCAAGAAAGTTCCATCTGCTAGCTGCTTAACTTGTAATCCCAGAAAGAAATTGAGCTGACCAATCATACTCATCTCAAATTCAGCTTCCATGAATCTCACAAATTCGTTCTTCAACGATTCAGCAGTTGATCCAAATACGATATCATCTACATATACTTGAGCAATCATAAGATCTTTTCCTTGCAGCTTGATAAATAGGGTCTTGTCTGTTGATCCTCGAACATACTTCTTTTCAAGCAGGAAATTGGACAGCCTCTCATACCAGGCTCTTGGTGCTTGCTTAAGACCATATAGCGCTTTCCTCAGTCTGTACACATGATCTGGATGAAAAGGATCCTCGAATCCCTTTGGTTGTTCAACATAAATTTCTTCTTTAATCCATCCATTCAAAAATGCTGTTTTGACGTCCATCTGGTAGA